CCCTAATTCAGAGGGGCCGCCTTTTGAATATGGGCCCCAAAAGGGACCATATTTTAGAGAGGAGACCCTAAAGCCTAAAGCCTAAAGCCTAAACCCTAAACCCTAAACCCTAGACCCTAAACCCTAAACCCTAAACCCTAAACCCTAAACCCTAAACCCTAAACCCTAAACCCTAAACCCTAAACCCTAAACCCTAAGCCCTAAACCCTAAACCCTAAACCCTAAACCCTAAACCCTAAACCCTAAACCCTAAACCCTAAACCCTAGCCGGGAGAGGGTGGCAGCTGTGCCAGGTGGTGAGGCCGTGACACCGCCGAGGCGTGGCGGCCCGTAAGACCTCAAGCCCCACTAAACCTTCAACCCTGAACACGGTTTAGGGTTTAGGGTTTAGGGTTTAGGGTTTAGGGTTTACCCTAAACATCAACCCTTACAGCCTTAAGCCCACAAACCCTCAACCCTCCTGGTTTGTTAGTATCTGGGTGTTTTGTCCGTGGTGTTTCTAAGGGTGGTTACATGTTAGTCCCTTACCTTCTGTAAAGCGTTTCTGCCCTTGGGTTGTACAGGCAATATAGGGGGTGTATTAAGGCCCCATACTAGAGGACCATGTAGCGACCCGAAGAGTGTTGCCTGTTGCGGTACTGGCTCCTAGCCGGTGTAGGTGCACAAAGCGGCACAGGTGGGCAACATAGGGGTCGGAATAATTAGCAGTAATATTCCCTCAGTGTCCCTATATTATTGTACTGCAATGACCCTTTTCTACGTTTTAAGGCCGCTGTATTCGCCTGAGTTGGGCAGGTCCGATGCCCCCTGCCTCGTGCGAGCGTGAGAGTCGGAACCCTACTTGAAGGTTCATGGGGAGTTAGAAGAAGCTTAAGTAAGGGTATAAACTCACTGAAAAAAAACCACCCTCAACCCTAAACCCTGAACCCTACGTACAACGACCCCTGTACCTTCAAGTAATACCCAATACTCGCCAGGCGCAAGGCTCAGGGCCGGGCAAGTGCCCTCCTCTCAGTGCGAAGCGCTGGAGCTTTCAGGGATAGGGTTTAAGGTTTAAGGTTTGGGGTTTGGGGTATGCGATTTCGGGTGTGGGGTTTAGGGTTTTGGGGTGCTTCCTCGCTGACAGGTACCGGCATGGCTCTCAGACCGGGTTCAACAAAGGGCTTAGGGATTTCGGGCCTTACCACGGGTTCAACAGAGAAGGGCTTAGGGCCTCGGGGGCGGGGGGGGGGGGCGGGGGGGTGGGGGGGGTTCTCCCACAACAAGCAGCAGATAGTTGTCTTCGGAGCCGCCGCGCACGACGCGGCTCAACCATTTGGGTGCTGTAAACGTGGACAAGGTGAGCTTCCTCCCCCCTTCGAAAAACTCAGCCAGCATGGCGTAGGGTTCAAGGTCTTAACCCTGAGCGAAACCCAAAATTCCCTGGATTCCTAAATCCTAAAACCCCAAGCCCCAAAGGCTTCTAGGTAGAGCGCCCCTCCTCCAGCTCTAGCTCCAGAAGGTTTAGGGTTTAGGGTCTCTAGGGTTTTAGGGTTTAGGGCTAGCCTTCCAAAGTACCCACAGTTCAGTCTCCCCCTCCCAAGAAAGTGTATGGTTTGGGCCATTCTACCGTGGGCAGGCACGGTGTTTCCATTGTGAACTCTCCTTGGGCTGAAAGTGGAGGCGTCGTTTTTTCTCCCATGCTTCCCCCATAAAGACTCAAAGTGGAGGCTGGTGGGATGTCCACGCCTGCCAAGAGAAGGCCTGTGAGATCATGGTTTAGGGTTTAGGGTTTAGGGTTTAGGGTTTAGGGTTTAGGGCCCCCGAAACTTGCTAATTAGTCCGTAAACCCTAAACCCGAATCTCTGAAAGGGTTCTAGAGGGAGGACGGAAGGTGTCTATAGTTCCCTTGTAAGCTAGCAGCTAAACCCCCCAAACTGCGGGCTCTGAGTAGAGCCCTATCGTTGTCATTCGTTGTCTCAGAGAAGAGGTGAAAGGCAGAGGACTTGCCATAGCTAGTCCAACTTTTTACCCGAAGGTCCTAGAATCCTAGAACGGAAACCTTAGAACAGAGACCTGTGGTGTTTTGCAGCGGCTGCTAGGGTACAGTTGCGGAGTTTAGGGTTCATAGGGCTTAAGTGGGCGTCTCTGTTGCTCAGTTTTGCCTCGAATCTTTCGGGATGCAGTCCAGAGTATGTGCTTCGAACTCATCATCGTCGTGGAAGGTTGTGGTTGTGGTTGTTGAAGCACCCTGAACCCACTGTCCCCTGGCTTGCCCCCACGACGTGGGCCCTAAACCCTGAACCCTGAACCCTAAACCCTAAACCCCTAAACCCTAAACCTTCAAGCCTCAGTTGCATGGAGCTTCTGCCAATTTTCCGGGCTCAGGCGCACTTCCCACCACGGTGCAGAGGCTGCAACGCGCAAGGGCTTGGATGTTTGGGGCTAAAAGGGCTAGGCTGGGACAGCTACTCCACCCACACTATGTCACTATGCGAGCAGGGGGGGATGCAGAGTTTCCCGACCTCGACCCCTTTCCCCGGCCTGTCGGGTTACAAAGCCTTTGCGCAAAGAACCTTCTAAACCTTGATTATGCCTTCCCGGCCTTTACACAACAACACATAGCACGAAACACCCGCAACATTGAGCATTCATTTTGGTGCCCTTGAGGTGCACTTTGAAGCCTGGGAAGTCTTGCCTGAAGTTGTCCCCATATCATACTGTTGTTCAGGGCTTAGGGTTCAAAGTCACGGTTTAAGGTTTAAGGTTTAAGGTTTAGGGTTTAGGGTTTAGGGTTTAGGGTTCAAAGTTCCCTGAACACAGATCCTTTTGCCAGGGCAGGCTCGAAAGATTCCTTCCTACCCCGCCGGGAAGCCCTGAGTGACACCGGTTTAGGGTTTAGGGTTTACGGTTTAGGGCAGTGCAGCCGTCCTAGCTGTAAAAAGGGTTTAGGGTGACAACTTGGCTATGTGGGGTGTTCGAGAATGGCGTTGTTCCCCACTAAGTTGTCGTCTTTTTCAGTCCTTCCTTTCTGGTCTTTGTTTCCCTTGCATGCTCGAGCTCTGTTTTTTGGGGGTGCGGGGGCCTCAAGGATCACCCATCAGCACAATTTTTTCTGTCCGTGCGAGAGTCTAGTCCGATGTGCTAGCACCGCCCTCAGTCCACGATCACGATGAAGATACCCGCAGACTCTATACAATGCATCCCAGGGCTGGCACCAGCGGTCTCTACCGTCGGAATACTTGCTAATAGTATTCCCTTATGGTCCCTTTCTGACTATACTATAATACCCCCCAAAACCCTATTCTTATTATTCAGGCGCCTACGTAAGACCTGCTCTTCCTCAAGGGGTTTAGAGCCAGCTGTGGAGTGCTTCGCTGTTAGGGGTTCTTCAGCTTTGAGGACTCAAGACTTCAAGACATCATAGTAGGATTTGCATGCACATCTGGGATTTAGAGTGGGGGTGAGAGGCAAAAAAAGGCAAGATCATGCAAGCCTTGCCTGCGCATTTCTGGCCGAGTGCACTGCTGAGGAGCAAGCGAGTCCGCGAGCGCATTGATCGAGCACCTCACTCATTGGCTTCTCCTGGCGGGTTTAGGGATTTGGGGCTTTGCTGCCCTGCGACCTTAGGTTTTTTCTTGGGGATGGACCATGGTGAGTGCAGTCATCACCACGGCACCAGGAACCTTTTGATGATGGAAGCTCAGTAGTTAGGCTGCCCTTCTGCCACATCAGTCGCACATGTGCTTCGCAGGCTTGCCAGGGTAGTGCTCTGGGTTTACAGTTCCTTCCGGGTTCGCGTTATTGTCGTCTTCTTCGCAGGACTCGAGCTTAAGACAAGTGCAGTGACAAAAGCTGAGGTGGACACGCTGGCGTCATCCACTATATTCGAATACAAAATTATCATATACTGACCGTTTTTATTGGACAATAGTACAGTTTCAAACACATATACTCACAATGTAATTTTTTTAAAGCCATACACATGCCCACAAACCGACCACAAGCCCCCCCCCCCCCCCGACGTCCATGCCGTGGCGGGGCGGCCGCGTCTTCTTGAGCTGAAGATGCTGGGATGATCACGCCTACACCGACGCAGCCCTAAAAACCCAGCCTGTCCCCCCAAGAATCTGCCCCCCCAAGAATCAGAAAGATAACCCTAAACTCTAAACCCCTACTTAACAGCTGGTTGTATTTAAATACGGAACTATATTGTTTAAGCAGTAAGGGGTTCTCAGAACATTCAAGTAGACGTCTCCCCGAATGTCAACTGGACTCTTGCGCCAAGGCCAAGGAGCACCGGCTACTGCTTGTCAACCTACAGGCAGATTTTTGGGTGTAGGTTTTTAGGGCTTCAGGGTTTAGGCTTTAGGGTTCAGGGCATTGAAGCAAAAAGGGCTTCGGGCATTGTAATTCCAGTGCCAGGGCAAAAGCCTTGGGGCATTGCATACGATTTTCGTAGTAGCTACGTCTTCAAAAGTTAACCGCTACGTATAACCCATGACGCTGCAGCACTTATCTTCTTTCTTTCAAGGATCAAGCTTTCAGTGAATATTATCACATGGGAACTCCCAGAAGGGGAGCCCCACGAAACCAGTACGCCAACAGTAGGAGTGTGAGGAAATTCTTGACCGGTCTGGGGTTCTCTCCAGGATGTCTCCTAGCTTTGGCCTCAGAGTTCAGTTGCGATTCGGCTTCTTGGCTGCGCCTTAGAGCATACTGTATCCTGTTATAATTGTCGCCATAGTAGCAATAGTAACCAGAGTAAGAACCGTAAACATCGTCATACCGACAGACCCTACACTTCGAAACCCTGAACCCCTCATCCTGAGTGTCATGAACGCTTCGACAGCAAGACGCAGGACTGAGATCCCAGTTGGATCTATAGGCCCAATTCAGATGGGTAGGCCCAAAATTTAAACCCTAAACTTGAAGCCCTACAACCCCAAAGCCGACTTTCCCCCGATGACCTCTGTGTAACCCGAGCCCTCATTGTGGAAGCCTTCATGAGAGTAGCCGAGATGGGAACTCCCTTCCTGAAAGTTGCCCTGAATTGGAAGCGTTGGCTACTCCGGTTGCACAACGAGGTGATTGGGGCCCTCTTTTGGGTTGTAGACTACACCAAGAAGCACCGCAAACCTGCGACGACCCTGAAGAAATACTCCCGGAAACTTGACCTTAAGAGGGGTCCCAAGCAAAAGCTGGGTCCATCAGTCCCACTTACCAAATCTTACAGAATCCCCTGTTTTCTCCCTCTCAATGCAAACGGTCATACTCGGAAGCCTAGAACATCCTAGAACCTAGTGGTTGGACTCACCCTAAACCCTAAACCCTAAACCCTAAACCCTAAACCCTAAACCCTAAACCAATTGTGTCATGCTTGGGGGAGGGGGGGGGGGGGGCGCAACGACCACGGGGTCAGGTTGCCGAGCGAGGCGAGATCACAGCCACGCCGGGGCCCTCGGGGCAGCCCGCCACTCCCTTGGAAAATGGTTTGGGGGCCCGCTTCGCAAATGAAATTCTAAACGGAGTTTCAAATAAAGCCGGACACCCGAATATTCCGGAGTTTCTTCTGCAAACCTTGTTTTGGTTTTTGGCTTCCCGGCCCCCACGTGCAGACCACCCTCATCAATGGGAAGGGGGCGGGGGGGGCTAAAAGTTTTCGGGAAAAACGCTTAATAGCGCCTTTCATGAATAACTATTATGGAATCCTGGTTTGGTTGTGAACTAATACGATACAGCCCTGGTTCAAAATCACTTTTAGGAGGGTTGAAATGCGTACATTGGACAGGCTTTTCGGCCTCGAGTCGGGGCACCCTTTGTATTTCTAGGTTACTCTTGGGTCCAGTCTATGGGTCCTGAGCCCTAAGCCCTGAAGCCCATCAGCCCTAAACCCCACAACCACATAAAGGTCTGTGTTGAAGGAAAAGAACCTTGGGCCCCGGTAAGAACATAGGAACTCCACCAGTGGCCACAATAAAATTTGCTCAACCACTCCTCCAAACCAGTAAAGTTTTTCCGGGCGCCCTGGCTTCTTCGCTTTGCAAGGCCCAGGGGTAACCGCCTTAAATGTGCACTAAGAGCCCGAAACCTAAACCCTAAAAACTCCTCTGATTAGGGTTTAACGTAGATGAAGGTTGAGCAGGGAGGGGTGGTGGGGGGAGGGTTGGGGGTTTTGGGTGGATTTGGGTTCGGGGTTTGGGGTTTTGGGGTTGAGCTGAAATTCCTCGCCACCAATCGACACGACATTTTTGCGGTTTCGGGTTTAGGGTGTGTGTGTGTGTGTGGGGTCTATGGTTGAGGGTTTAGGGTTTAGGGTCCACAGCGTAGGGTTTAGGGTGTAGGGTTTAGGGATCTGTCACGAACCTGGCGCAGCCACTGCAGCATCCCAAAGCCGAAAGTGTGACGGGACCTGCACTCGGCAGCCAGACCCTTGGTGGCTGAGTGGAAAAAGGGGTTTACAGGCTAGTTTGGGCTTTAGGGTTTAGGGTTTAGGGTAAGTGGAAACCAAGGGGTTTAGGGCTTGTAGGGCTTTCGGGATGTAGGGGTTTGGGGTCTCTTGCTAGCTGAGTGGTATCCTTTTGCCCCTTGCCCCTTTTTTTATAGGTTATCGTCACGAACACCCAAAAAAGTGGTACCTGGATTGTCCTACGGCTACTCGGCTACCACTGGGCCTTGGAGTACTATACTTTAATACTTGTTTCTGGGTTCCTATTATAGCTACTTATACCTTAAAGTATAGTTTTTCCGGGGTCTACTCCAAAGTAGGGACCACTAACCCTCAACCTTCAACCCTCAACCCTCAACCCTCAACCCTCAACCCTCAACCCTAAACCCTAAACCCCAGCACCATCATACGGTTAGCGACCAAGGACCATGGAGGAGGTGTGCCCTCCGATGGTGCCCGGGCTGCAGGCTGCACAGCCTGGGTTGCAGCCGATCGAGGCAGCCCAGCCTGCCTGCTCGTCTGCCAGCTCAAGGACAAAGTGTTGGGGGTTGACGAAAACAGGGGGACCCCTAAAATAGGCCCCCAGAATGGTCGGATTCCCTGATAATGCGACCCCAATAAGGTAGCCGAATTCCGGAAGCCACGACATGTTTTTGGAAATCGCTTCTACTTGGCGCTAATTGTCGATTGGACTAATGTGTAGCAAGGGTTCTGAGAACAGAGAGCAGCATCAGGCCCACGGCTGCGCCCAAGCTACCAGCCCCACCGAAACCAAGAGTCGGACTTTTGTATGACTTCCTTGCTGCCCCTGCCACACCTACTCCAAGCGAGAGTACCGCGGAGCACATGATGCCACATGTGGCCAACATCGGCAAGGTGCACATGATGTTCTATCCAGGCGGTGGCGACGAATGGGAGGAAGATGAGACAGTCAGCAATTTTCTCACGACAGGCAGGCCGAAGTCTTGCAAGATGCAATGCACTTCGCACACGGAGCGTCTCCAACTCGCATTGTTGGACCAAAAGCACGGAATTGACGCAACTTTCCTCAATGCAAAAGAGAAGTCCTTCCTGGATGCAATGAACGAGGATGAAAAGCGCAGAATGTTCTCTCTCACAGACGAGGACATGGAGAGCTTGGACGAAACAAAGGAAGGCGAAGACATCAAAATGCCAAGCTTGCCATCTTCGTCCTCGCCTGCAAAGCAGAAGACGCGGCCCTACCCTTTGTCAGAGCCTGTGGAGATGCCGGGGGAGGTAGCAGACATCATCAAGGACACTCTGTGCAGGCTCTTCAAATTTCAGTAGTCGGCCTCGGTCGGACGGTAAGGACAACGTAATTTAACACGGCTTTTCTTGGTGGTCGATGGTGGCTGTAGACTCGGGGTAGGGGGACAGGGCAGTGCTGGGGGATGTTGTGCATGGTGTAAAGCACAAAAGCTACAGTTGCAGGGCCCCTGCTACCGAGAGATTGGACCTGTGTCTTGAGCCGCCGACAACAAGCGGGAAGCATGACCCGCGCAGTCATTCTGATTCGAGCACCTGCATTGGGAAAACGCGAAATTACGACAGAAACTAGCAGAGGCATGTCCCACAAAGTCAGTCCTTGCAGGGCCTTGTGCTCGATGAATTCGTTTGTTGTCGACGAAGATGGATGGCCTTTGTTGTCGCAATTTGTCCTTGCACCGGTACAGGAGCTCTGTCGCCCTGTCTGACTCTAAGGGTTTAGGGTTTACAGTAGGGTCAGTAGGGATTTTGTGCTCGGATCCGGATTTTGTGCAAGGACTTTCGCAAACAATTGAGGCTCTCCTTTAATTTTGTCGTGCATTGCCGAAGGTCCTTTGAACCGGCCCAGTCATGACGGAATATCGCTACTGCAGCAGCCCTGAGCCCTAAGTCCTCAATGGTTTTCAGGTCTTCGATGGGCCCTAAACCCTAATCCCGAAACCCTAAACCCTGAGCCCTAAACCCTAAAGGCCATTTCTAGATCTCGTGCATCCGAAGGTCGTTTGAACCAGCCCACTCATGAAGGAGTATCACCACTGCAGCAGCCCTACACCCTAAATCCTAAATCCGCGGTAGCTTTCTACGCGTCTTCGCTGGGCCATTTGTTTAAAGTGGAGTCGACGAAATGGATGAGGCCTACAGACCTCGGCGGTCTATAGGGCCTTATCGGGCTGAAGCTCAGAGCAGAATTGAATCTGTAAGCCCATCTGTAAACCCGAACTGGATCCTAAACCCTAAACCCTAAACCTCCTACCCGTCTTGCAGAGGAAGCGTTTTTCAGCTCTGGGCACCCCACATCACAGTCCCAAAGGGCGCTCTCAACGGCGCTCTAGGCAGGATTGCGACTTACATGGAGCCGAGGGCTCCGTCAATTCTGCCAATGCAGACCTGGACGCCGCGCAGGTCCGGGGTGGCTGTGAAGAGAGAGGCTGAGGACGAACTCGCAAATCTCGAAGCTACCAGGCTTTACCCTAAACCCTAAACCCTAAACTTTTAGGGATCAACTCGTAAGATATGAAGCTTCAGCATTCCGAAGCTTGGACCCGCCTCTGGACCACCCAGCGCAGATCCTGCAACCAACAGCCGCACATGGATGTGACAAGCGACTTGAACATCACGCTTTGCCGTCATAAAAGTCGTGCATATGTGGTGTGTAGCAAGGAGGTTCCCGGATTCCCCCCCTCCCACCTAAACCCCTACCTGAACATCTTTAGTTGACGTTAAAAAAGGTGGCAACCAGCCACTAGTGTGAAGAAATTTCGCGACTCCGTTAGGCGCTGCGCATGTATTACAGCCCCGAAGGGCAGCCACGCGCGCTGCCTCCATTAGGCCACGAAGAAGTACTGTGCAACACAGGAGGACGTTCTTTCCCACCTCGGCATGGCATTGTGAGCCAAGCTTACCTCTGTGCGATTCTTCATGTCCACTCAAGGGTTGCATTGCACAGTCTGCAATTGCTGAGGTGCTGGGCCACACTGGCAACGTCTATGACGTCCGTATAGGCCTCCAAGCGATGTCAGTGTCTTGTGTGACCCTAAACCCTAAACCCTAAACCCTAAACCTTAAACCCTGTCTTCACGCCCCCCCCCCCCCCCCCCACCGTGGTCGCCGACCAGGGATCCTTCCTAGGCCTAGCCGCAAGCATGGTCCAGTCTTCTGCTCGCTTTGCCCATCGACCTTCAGTTCTGTTCGCCTGCTCGTAGCAAGTGGACTAAACCCTAAACCCTAAACCCTAAAGCCTGCTCCATGAGCGTGTTGAAGGAGCCCGAGTTGTGTGCACCTGCCCGGACTTTCTCAAGGCCCGGGGCTCTGTGGGGTCTGTCTACTGCAGATCAAAATCCTCCTGTGTGCCTTACCAACTTTGAAGTGCTTCGATGCATATGACATCTTTCCTGCTGCCTCCTTTCGCAACTCCCCAGCACTTTTCATCTGTAGCGGCACCCCTACACCAAGTGCTTGCTTATTTGAGGTCAGGCCCCCCCATGCAGCAATGCAAACAAAATAATTAGAGCGGGAAAGGATTTCACTAATGAAAGTCAGCATTGGGCTCACGGGCTCCTCCCCAACAGGAATCTGCGCAGGAATCTGCGAGGTTTGGGTTTTAGGCTTCTTGCAGGAGTTTCCCTACTACCCCCTCCATACTACCCCAACTAGGTTCCCCCTTGAGTAACCTTTATCGGGCTTAATTTTCCCTACATATCCTTAGTTATGGGGGGAACCTAGGGGGGTTACGTGCATTATGTTTCATGAAATGATACAGCTATTACTATGATACATAGAGGGTCTAGAGTGGAGGGCTTGGGCTCGCTAAGAACCAGATGGTGAGATTGGAAACTCAGTCGGTAGGAGAACTGAAACCCTAAACCCTAAACTTAAATCCTAAACCCTAAACCCTGGCAAAAGGCGAAGGCTGCCTGCAAGCACCTCCTCTTCGTCTTCTTGCGGGTGGCTCTTCGGGAAATGGGGGGTTTAGGGTTTAGGGTTTAGGGTTTAGGGTTTAGGATTTAGGGTTTAAGTTTAGGGTTTAGAGTCGAAAATAGGGAACCCTTTTTTGGGGGTCCTTTTAAGGAGCTTCCATTTTATTTGGGGTATAAAAGGGGTACCCCTATTTTGGGAAATCCCCTAAGCCCCAAACTAAACCTGCTCGGGGTTCTGAGGGTCTTGGGATGTTAGCCTTCATGGCCCTGCGTCTGAAATCTTGCACCCCCTGCCCCAAGCGCCTGAGACTTAATCCCCTAGCTGCGGGGGCCAAGGCTTACTACGGGCCTACAGGGCATGAGGGTTGTACGATAGGGGTCGGAATAACTACTAATAGTATTCCCTTATCCCTAGAATAATAATAACCCCCCCCCCCCCCCCCCCCTTTTCTAAGTGTTCATCCCCCCCCCCATTCGAGGCATCTACTGCTGCGCCCTGAAGGTGTTCGGATCGAGGGCAAGGATCATTCGGGGTGTTTGAAGAGGATGCTGCTCAAAGCCCGGCGACCCTCATCTGCGACCTATGAAGCTTCTGTTTCATTAGGGCTTCTGTAGGGCTGAGGCTTTGGGGGACGTGAGGGGCTTTTGGGCTTAGGGTTTAGTGGCTCTTGTGTGTTTGGGGTTTAGGGTTTCGGGAAAGCCCTAAACCCTATAAGCCCTAAACCCTAAACCCAATGGGCATTGCTGCTGGCTAGTCGGGTGGGGAAAAAAACCCAATGGGGTTGAAAGTTTAGGGTGCAAGAGAAACCCTAAACCCTAAACCCTAAACCCTAAACCCTAAGCCCTAAGCCCTAAACCCTAAACCCTAAACCCTAAACCCTAAACCCTAAACCCTAGCCCTAAACCCTAAACCCTAAAAAGGAGCAAATAAGGGGGGACCAGGGCTCCTTGAGCTCCAGGTCCTGCGGATCTCGGACGACGCCAAGGCCTCAGATGCGCTGCTCAAGTGCAGCCCTTGGCCCTGAACCCGGAAATCTTATTAGGGTTTAGGGTTTAGGGTTTAGGGTTTAGGGTTTAGGGTTTAGGGTTTAGGGTTTAGTTTCATGGTTTAGGGCTCGTACTGATGCTTTCAGTTTGGACATGTCTCCTCAAGCACGACTCTTGGCGAGAAGTGTCAGTGTACATCTGTCAGCGTGCTGGCGCCGACCCCAGTCCAGGCTTCAAAAAAGAGTTTGGGGTTTAGGGAGTCATGGCAAGCTTGTTGCAAAAGGGAGTCATGGCTTTCCGTGTTTGAGGTTTAGATCTTTCGCCTTCAGGTCGCCGAATCATCTCAATGTGAAGGAAGCCCTAAACCCTAGACCCACGCCACAACCGAACGCATAAACCCTAAACCCGAACCCCTCGACTTTCCGTCAGCTAGGCCCTTAGGCGGGTGGCAACAACCCTCGGCTTCAAACTCAGAGATCCCTAAGCCCTAAGCCCTAAGCCCTAAGCCCTAAACCCTAAACCCTAAACCCTAAACCCTAACCCTAAACCAGGGTCTAGGGTCCCAGGACCCACGGCTGTGGCAAAGGGCTCTCATCCCGCGTGAGCTCAGCGACCTGCGTTCGCGCCCGGGGGCCAAAGGGGAGGGAGTTCAGGGTTTAGGGTCTAGGGTTTTGGGCTCAGCCGCGACTTAGCCAGGACCCTGTTAAACACTACTTGAAGGTTCATGGGTAGTTGTAAGATACTTCTGACCCTAAACCATAAACCCTGAACCCTTAACCGTTAACCCTAAACCCTAAACCCTTAAACCCTAAGCCCTAAGCCCTAACTGGCCAGGCACAGTCAAGCAAGCCCCGCATGGAACTTTGACCCTGGCAGGCAGCTTCACAGACCAGGGGATTGTTCCTTAACTTGGAGCCCCTCCCGAAGAAAGAGTAGGCCCCTTAGGGTTTAGGGTTTAGGGTTTAGGGTTTAGGGTTTAGGGCTTACTCTAGGGGCTTCTTGGCAACCGGGCTTTCACAAGCAGTCCTAGTTGGGGGGAGACCTCTGCTGCCAGGGGGGATTCGGTACCTTTTGCTTCTAAGCCGGGGGCCGGGGATGCGCCATGAAGGCTCCGCGGAATCACCTGTCTGCAAGACCTGGGTGGGGGTTTTGGGTTTAGGGTTTAGGGTTTTAGGAAAAGGAGTAGACCGTTCAAGCTCCACAACTTTCTGCATCAAGTGCCACGCCTGGGCAGTGCTGTCGCACTTGCTCTTATGATGCAGACAGAGGATGCCGGAGGTCGAGGTCATCGCAACTAAGGCATCATGGCGAAGTCACGATGCGTATTCTCTTGGCCCAACTCGAGAAGAACAAAAGAAAAACAAGCGCAATTAAGGTCATACTCGGTTGCGAGACTAGGAGGCAACTTGCTGACGGTTTGCCTCAAAAGGCCCGGCTCCGTCTACCGATGTCCTGCATGTGCGACCTGCATGTCCGTTTCCAAGCCTCACTGCCTGGATGTCGCTTAGTATCGTGTGGCTAGGAATCTTAAACCCTAGACCCTACACCCTAAACCCTAAGTGGGTGGCATGGACCCCTGCTGTGGATAGGGCCGGAGGATGGCCTAACTTGGGGGAGACGGCCTCAACACCCTCTGGTTATTCGCAGGGTTCCTGGGTGTTGGGGGCTATGGCTTCGTGCTAATCATTAGCACGAAACCATAGCCCCCAACGCCCATGAATAGCAGCTAATATCCCATTCTTTTGTGGCGTATGAGGCACGCCCTGAACCCTTGGCATATCGTAAGGGCTCGGAAGTGAATTGTGCAAAGCATTCCCTCTCCAGCTGCCTCATGGAGCATGGCTGGACGGGTGGCAAAAAAACCTAAACCCGAAACCCTAAACCCTACACCCTATACCCTAAACCCTAAACCCTAAGCCCTAAACCCTAAACCCTAAGCCCTAAACCCTAAACCCTAAACCCTAAACCCTACCCCCCAGCCCCCCCACCCCGCCACAACAGCATGCCGAGCAGAGGCCTGACCAGCGCCAGCCAGCTCCTAGCCGAAGCTCGGGCCCACAGCTGCCAGTCGCTTTCTACCGGGGTCCGCAGTTGTTCTTGGCTTGGTTTAGGGTTTAGGGTTTAGGGTTTAGGGACAACTTAACTTTAGTACCGCTTCAGCAGCATCGCGAGCCATAGGCTCTAGAATGATCCTTTGGGTTCAGGCTTTCAGGCCAATCTCCGGCAACCCCTCATAGTTTAGGGTTTAGGGTTTAGGGTTTAGGGTAACCCTTTTTCGTCTGCGTTTGGGGTTAGGTTTCCTAAGGTATACCTTTTGACTCTATGGGTAACCTTCGAATAGACCCTAAACCGTGAACCCTAAACCCTAATTCATGGGTGATTCTACTTATAGCTCTACTTACATGGGGGTTTGCGAACATAAGGGACCCCTAAAATAGACCCCCAAATAGTAGGATTCCCCTGTAATATGGCCCCAATAAGGTACCCCTAATTGCAGAAACCCCCTTATCTACCCATGAACCTGCAAGCAGACCCTAAACCCTAAACCCTAACCCCTAAACCCTAAACCCTAAACCCTAAACCCTAAACCCTAAACCCTAACACCCACACCCTGAAGTTGTCTCACAGGTTCAGGCGCCTGCAGCTGTGGGGAGCTCAGGAGGGCACGGTTTGGCACAGGTGGGCGGCTTCAGGTTTGGGGTTTGGGGTTTGGGGTTTAGGGTTTAGGGTTTAGGGTTTGGGTTTCAGGGTTTGGGGTTTAGGGTTTGGGGGTTAGGGTTTGGGGTTTAGGGTAGCAGTCGACCAGGGACAGCAGAAGGATGCTTGAAGTCCCAAGGTTCCCCAACCCTCCGGACCCTAAACCCTAAACCCTAAACCCTAAACCCTAAACCCCAAACCCTAAACCCTAAACCCTAAACCCTAAACCCTAAACCCTAACCCTAAACCCTAAACCTTAATTTTGCAGAGGGCTCCCGGGCGCCTGTCTCTCTTGCCTGCCTGGAAGCCAGCGGCTCACAGGAGCGTTCAAGGGACTTTGGTGTGTAGGGCTACAGAAGGTACATAACACGGCTTTTTGGGGGGAATATCATGAAGGGTGCCTTCCAGGAGCCCCTCTGTACATACATATATACATATATATATATATGTATATACATATATATATATATACATATATACCCCTAAATGAGTATATCTATATATACATATATATATATATATGCCCCGTAGAGCGTGGTTGCGATTCCCAGAGGCCTGGTCTTAGTCTTAGAGTCTTAGCCTCGTGACGACACAGCTGCGGGCATGAGGGTGCTTTTAGGGTTTAGGGTTTAGGGTTTGGGGTTTAGGGTTTGGGGTTTAGGGTTTAGGGTTTAGAGTTCAGGGTTCAGAAACAAATGGCAACTCGAGAGGGTGTCATCGCTTTGAGTTTTCGCGCGGTGGCGGGCGCCATGGCGGATGTCAAGATGACACCGGCGCCGCCCTCCGAGGAAGATTGGCAGTCCCGCTGCGCGCGATGCCGCTCGGCTCCACTATGCCGGGGCTGAGGGTGTATGGTTTAGGGCGCAAGGTTTAGGGTTTAGGGTTCCGGGAACAACCCGAAAGCAGAAAGCCCCGATGAAGCCTCAGAAGGTCTCGGCGACCCCCCCTAAACCTGAAACCCAAAAAGCAGCACCCTAACCCTAAACCCTAACACCCTAAACCCTGAACCCTGAACCCTAAACCTCGCAAAGCCACAGAGTTCCAGCTGAGGCAAGGCGACCGTGGAGGCCTGGTAACCAGGGCTCGGGATTCAGTTAGGGCGGAACGGGTTTAGGGTTTAGGGTTTAGGGTTTAGGGATACCCAGTAGAACATAACTTTGTCATAGTTGGGGTAACATTTTGCATGTTTAAGGTACTGAAACCCAATAAGGAATATAAGTTTTAAATGTTTAATGCTATCCCAACCATGAACTAGATACCCAGGATTTAGGGTTTAGGGTTTTGGGATTTGGGGTTTAGGGTGAAAAGGGTTTAAGGTTTACTACTTTTTGGAGGACTTAGGACCTCATAACCTTGATTCAAACAAAAGCCAAGTTCCCTTGTCAAGCCCATTAAGCAAGAAGCCCTCCTGCTCTTAGGTTGCTGGATTAATGCTGAGCCGAGAACCCTACTCCCTCACCAGCAGGGGGCCACGAACACACCAGAACCGCAAACCCTGAACCCTAAAACCCAAAGTGCGCCACAAGAAAAAGAGCAAAACAAATCTCAACCTTTAGGATTTGGGGTTTAGGGCTTAGGGTTTAGAGCTTAGCTAGCTTCAACCCCAAGCCCTAAAGCCCCTAGAGCCTGCAAGCCTGTGAGCCTGGCACCCTACCGGGGACCGACTCTGGGAACCCCCGAGGATTCAGGGGTTTAGGGGTTTGGGGGTTTAGGGGTTTCGGGGTTTTCGGGGTTTTAGGGGTTTAGGGCTTTTTGGGGTTTAGGGGTTTAGGGGTTTAGGGGTTTAGGGGTTTAGGGCTTTTTGGGGTTTAGGGGTTTAGGGGTTTAGGGGTTTAGGGGTTTAGGGTTTAGGGTTTAGGGTTGGCCGGATGCAAAAAGGGTGTTAGGGGTTTAGGGTTTTAGGGTTTTTTAGCTGTGCAGACCTGGTTGTAAAAGGGTTTTTTAGCCGGGTTAAGCGCTTAGGGGATTTAGGGTTTGGGAAACTTTCCTAGGATTCAGGTTTAGGGTGTAGGGTCTGAAGCCTTAACCCTAAACCCTAAATCCTAAGAATAAAAACCAAAAGAACGCAAAACCGCAGGGCCTCCTCAAGAACCGGCAGACGAAGGAGGCCTTGGCGGAGGCGCTGAAGGAGCCTCCCTATGGCCCCGTGGCTGGTTTTTATGGTTCAGGGTTTAGGGATTCATGGGTAGGTTGCAGGTTGCCTATCTTCTAACCTGCATCAAGGTGATAATTGTGTATGTGGGGTTATATGTGTAAGGTTGCCCATGTATTGTAGCCTGACTCAAGGTACTTTGTAGCCCTACTTACATCCACCCCTGAACCTTCAAGTAGCTTGGTACTCTTGATCCCCAAAGGTTAGGGGAGTCATGTGTGGGCTTGGGGCGTCTCTCACTGTCATTGTGGCTTTGGCAACTCTGCGGCCCGAGGGTTAGGACAAAGGAGCCGGTGACAGAATCAGCATGGCCTGGATGTATGGGTTGACATTCAAGGTTGAAGAGCGACTGGTTTAGGGTCTAGGGTTTAGGGTTGTTTAGAGTTTTTCCATCTTCCCCCCCCCCACCCCCCCTCCCACCCCCTCGCCCCCCGGAAAGGGGCGCGGGAATTATGTGACCCGATCTCTGAAACAAGCCTTCGCATTCGGAGCATGCGTTGCAGTGAGTCACTGGGTTTAGGGTTTAGGATTTAGGGTTTAGGGGGCGCCTCCTGAAATCTGAGCTGCTGAGCCCGAACCCCGGAAGCCGAAATGCACAACCCTCCCAGCCCGAAACCCCAAACCCTAACCTGCTTTGTGGTTCGGCCAGCTACGCGGGAGCGGAAAAAAGAACCTAACTGTACCCTAAACCCCAGTCCGCTTCAACCCCAAACTTTGTCATAGTTGGGTAACCATGTTGCATTTTAAAAGGGTACTTAAACCCAATAAGGAATATGAGCTTAAATTTTTAATGCCATCTCAACCATGAACTAGATACCCTAAAAGAACAGCCCCCGACTCCGGAAGTCCGCAGAAGGCGCCACAGTCAAGACTCGGGAGGATGCTGCCAGGACGGTCCTGCAAGCCGCTGGGCAGCACTCTCACCCCTGAGCTATAGAAGCTAGAGACGTTCCGGGCTTCAAACCCGGGAGTTTAGGGTTTCGGCTTTAGGCGTAGACTTCCAAGCCTGCGGGTTTAGGGTAAGTGTAGGGCATCTCAGGTAAGTGAAAGGTTGCGATGCGGCCTGGGCGAGCAGAAACGCTTCAGGTCCCCTCGACAAGCTGCAGCAAGCTGCGTACCTCTCTGTTCTCTCTGCTCTCCTTTTTTTTCAGGGATCGCACCCAAAAAGCGCCATAGGCCCTTAAGCCCTAAACCCTACCCTGCAGCTGAGGCCATGTCTGCCTTTAGGGAGGCCTGCGGCCCTTCTTGCAGAGTTGGGTTTGGCGGGGGTGTAGGGGGTTCTGAGGCCTAGAAAAGGGTAGGTAGGGTCAAGGAATCTAGGAAGAGATCACAGAGTAGGGCCAAGGATTTGGGTTAGAGTGATTAGTCGCAGGGACGGGGGGCTCGGGGCCGCTTGAAGCTCAGCGCCAGATACAAGGACCTTGTCTCCAGCCCATTCCCGACTCCATGTACCTGTGGTCACTTCTCTCCAGTATGGTCCCTCTTGAGGTTATGATTATGGGGGGGCCCCTAATATTAAGGGCACCCCAAAGGGGGACCATAACTTGGAGAACTGCCAGCATTCCCGCAATCCTAATTGCTGTGTAGAGCATGTAAAAAAACCTTGAAGGAGTCCAATCACCTACAAGAAGTGGTGTCTCCCCTCGACTCACTGGGGCTTTCCCAGAATCTCCAAGCCGTTTTCAAGTTGACAGTTTCAAGGGTTTCGGGTTTGGGGTGGCAATTGCAAACCTTGTTGTCCCTACCCTTATGTCGCCTTTTTTGGCACTTTGGCTTGTATTGAGGATCGCTGCGAGGTATTTGCTTCTGCGAAGCACTCTCAAGTGTTGAAGTGCGAGGAGCGGGTGCGTATTTCCGTCTTCTTGAATGAAGGAGCAGGGGCAGTCGCGAGTTGTGAGGTTTGTTTGGGTGTAGGGTTAGGCTTTAGAGTTTTAGGGTTTAGGGTCTAGGGAAGGGTTTAGAAAAAGGCCGTTTAGGGTTCAGGGAGTTGTCTAGTTTGCGCAGTGTTTACCGGAAACCCTCAAGGCCTCTAAGCCCTAAACCCTAGACCCTAAACCTAAGCCCCCGCAGGCAGAGATCAAGGCTGCAGCCGCCTCCTTGAGCGAAGAGGCACAGTCTCCCTGCTGCAGGAAGCCGTTTAGGGCTTAGGGTTTAGGGCTTAGGGGTTTCCAAAACCCTAAAACCTTGGAACCCTGAAGCCCTTTCAAACATCCCTAAAGCCCAAACCCATAGAAACCCTCAACCCCAACAGGTCTTGCTACTGCCGGGTGGGGAACTTAGGTGCCCCCCCCCCCCCCCCAAAAAAAAAAAAAAAAAATATTGCCCTGGGTGGGAGGTTTGGGGTCTGGGTGCCTAGAAGCATGCAACAGAGATATAAGGGAGGGCATCCCCAGAGCCTGCGGCCATACTTGAGAAGTTTCACGGGTATAGTGATGGGTAGGGTTACGAGTCACGAAAACCTCTATGACAGCCCGTAAAATACGGGGCATTCGGAACTCCTCTTAGAACTAACCCGTGAGCCTTTCAGGAGATCCTTAGGGCTTCGAAGGGCTTTAGTCCCGACTTCATTTGTGCACACTCTTAAAGGAAGGGCGCGTGTACGTTCATCCCTGAGGTCTTCAAAGGTGCAGGACCCTCAAATGGGTTTAGGGTTTAGGGTTTAGGGTTTAGGGTTTCGGGACTGCAACTGCTCAGCCCTCTACCTCAGCAGATGCTGTCCCGACGCTACACGGCCCGTAGATTTAATCTCGATAGGATTTGTGGGTTAAGGAAAAGGGCCTATTCGTCCAATATTTTCCCTTAATCAACATGGGAGTACAAGAAGCTGCCCCAAATGGGGGTTTACGAAAAACTAAGGGACCCCCTAGTATACCCAAAAAGGGTACCCCGATTTCGGAAACCCCCAAATACCCAGCCGAACTCAACATGACCTTATGCAAGCCACGCCAAATCCAGCCTAGACTGCTGCGAGCTGGGTAGGCTCTTGGGAGATTTTCCTGCTTTCCTTTCTTGTTGGGTAGCCCTAAACCCTAAACCCAAAACCCTATAAGCCCTGATTGTTCAGGTTTCAAGGGCCAACCCTTGAGAGGGTTTTGGAGGTTGGCGATGTGTTGTAGGGCATGCCTGGGTTCCTGGCAAACCTGTGCTTCGTTGTGACGAGTTTTGGTGGGGGGGGGGTGGGGGGGGCTTGGGGCAAGCCTAGGGTTTAGTGCTGAGCGCTTAGGGTTTAGGGTTTGGGGTTTACATAGGGTTTCGGGTTTAGGATTTAGGGTTTAGGGTTTAGGGCAGCCAAGGAACACCTTGATGAAGTACTTGTACAAGTGCGCGTCCCAGGAGCGTTTCCGAATGGAGCTTGCCATGTGCAAAGGAGCGGAGATAGCTACCAGTGGCTGACTGCACCACACCCTTTTTGAGAACCTAAGCCGCTAACTTAGCCTAAGCCCTAACCCTATAGGTTTAGGGTTTCGGGCTTAGGGTCTAAACCCTAACCCTAAACCCCCAAAAAACCCTTAAACCTTAAGCTAGGCGAGAGGCAAAAAACAAAAGCAGCCCAATAGTCCTCATGCCACTCCTTGCTTTCAGGTTCTGGGGTCAGTCCCTTCCCGCCCGAACGAACTCTCAGCTCTTCACTTGGCACTCTGCGCTCGTGGAACTCCAGGCGGACGAGGGTGTAGGATACCGCTAAGCCCTAACCCTAAACCCTTATAAACCCTATACCCTATACCCCAAGCCACGTGGGGCAGTTCTCTGAATTGCGGTCCCCTTCTTAGGTGCCCCTAACTTTGCAGAGTCTGTGCCGTGTAGGATCCTCAGGGGCTTGCAGCTACACACTGCCACTTTGTAAACCCTAAACCCTAAACCCTAATCCCTAAACCTGTGTGTGTGTGTGTGTGTCTGTCCTTGTTGTGAAATCAGTCTGCTGCCGAGAAGGGTGCCTGCTTTCGTTTTTCACATGCTCGCTTGGGACCTGTAGGCTCTGGGCCGTTGTAGTCCTTAGGGCTTTCTTTGTGAGTTCGGCAAAAACCCTTTCAAACCTTCTGGAGGTGCTTGTCCTGAAGACCGGAGTACCTGTGTCCCTAAGCCCTTGCAGCTGTTTTAAGTTGTGGTTGCCTTCAAGACTCCAAGAAGCTCTGCCTATATAGCGAGTTACAGCCGAAATAGGCTGTACAGCGTGTGGAAACCGCATGTTGCCGACATGTTGTCAGCATTCTCCGGTACAACCTATGCCGAAGAACACTGACTCAGTCGATAGGCGGACGGATTCTCCCGAGACCCGTCGACCTCTAACTTCGTCAGCCCAAATCGTCTGGAACCTCAGATTGTACGCCACCTACATGGGTGGTTGTCAAAATTATGATCCCTTTCGGGGGTACCCTAAATTGAAATATTTGGTGCCGTATGATAAGAGGGATCCAAAAAGGGACCATAACTTTGACAACCACCTACATCAGCCACGTATGCTGAGGGGACATGTCTCCGTTTAGATCAAGCGGGGCTACGTACCGCACCTTAGAAATGCTTAGCCGCTTAGCCGATGTGGAACATACATTGAGCAGAGGGATGTTTAGGGTTTAGGGTTTAGAGTTTAGGGCTTAGGGTTTAGGGAGGATGTGTTTTTCTTCACGGCCTCGTGGACACCATTGTATGTTTTCGGGTTTGTGTTGCCGGGTCATGAAAAGTTTGGAAGACAGTAAAGTTAGCCTAAACCTTGTCCTAGACCCTCAACCCCTAAACCCTAAACCAATCTAAACCCTCAATCCCTAAACCCTAAATCCTCAACCCCTAAACCCCAATCCCTAAACCCTAAACCCCTCAACCCTAAACCCCTAAACCCCTAAACCCCTCAACCCTAAAGCCGCAGGCTGGGCCCGGCTCCATCGTGGCCCGTCTGATTTGTTTTTCAAGAGCCGTGCGCAGGGTCATGGGAGTTTCGAGCTTGGAGTCTTGGTGGTTTATGGCGTAATGTAGGGTACTACCCGATGTAAGGGTCGAGGTTCGAGATTTCGGGTTTGATGTGCGTTCCTTTTTTTGGGTAGGGTATTGCGTGAGAAAATCGCCGGAAGAATTCCCAACATTTCCGTTGTGGTCCCTATGTAAGTAGACGATTATCAACCCCAAAACCCTATTCTAATTATTCAGGCCCCTGTAGTAGAGCATGCTTCGATCCTATGGAGGGAAGGCTTTGTTGTTGCGGGGTCTTGCTTGCGGGCTCATGTAAGGGTCTTAGAACTCTAGTCAGACCTTCCAGTGTTGCTGGCTGGTTCCTTGCTATCCCTGGTTACGCCCCCTACTTAGTAGCCCAGTGGTACCCTTTTACACTTTTTTTGTCGTTCTGGGTTTCCTCATAAAGTAACCAAACCCAAAACGGGTTTAGGGTTTAGGGCTTAGGGTTTAGGGTTTAGGCTTACCACGCCTAAGAGAGCCAAACTTTCCAAGGTCAGAGCGATCTATGACTGGAACTGGCCATGAGCTGAAGCTGTAGCACTATGTCAGTTCTGGTGAGCACATTCGCGCGCCATCCACATGTCGAGGGTTGTTTAAAGTAAAGGCGGGAGCCCTGAAGCAAAAAGGGAAAATGGGTGGCAGTTCTGTTTAGAAAGGGTAAGGGGGTGGAGGCATTGCATCTCCCAGTCATATCGGATGTGGACATTTCCAAGACGTCACGACAATCGTAACCCATGACCGTGCGGGACTTCTCGTATGGAGGTGCCTGCCTCACAGGCATTGCTTTGCTGGTCGGAAAACAGAGCCCACGGCATCTCTAGCTATCTCAAGTGCGACCTTTTAGTCCGGGTACATTAGAACCTGCGCCCCAGTTTCCGTTCTTTCAATGCTATGCTTGAACCTTTCCGAACGGCTACCTACAATTCGGGACCGTGCTGTTGCAGACTGCTGTAGCATCACAGGAACTCGTAGGTTTGGGGCGAAAGTAAATCAACCAAAATCCTCCTTACACCCTCAACTCTAAATTCGGCATCCTAAACCCCAAATCCCCCGAAGCCTCAAACCCCCCCAAACCCCGACCCTGAATCCTAAACCCTAAGCCCTAAACCCGAAGCCATCCCAACAGTTCTTCGGACAGACCTGCGTAGAGGCGCAGGACACTTGGTACTTGGTAGGCCCTTGGGATATCTTCCCTTATGGGGTTTAAGAGGATCATACCCAGAACCCTAAACCCTAAATCCATCAGGAATATGTTTTTTACAAGGGGGTTTTAAGGGCCATGCTAGAGTAAGTAGGTTCTCGAACCAAACCTATTAGGGTTTAGGGTTTAGGGATTAGGGTTTAGGGTTTAGGGTTTAGGGTTTACTGCCCTCGAAACAGATCATGTGACGAAGCTTCGCGCTGCCCAACGCTGCGTTTATGCTATAGATGAGTTAAGTTTTCACCCTCACAGTGACCAGGTAGGCCCCGAGGATGTTTCATTCTCGCTTATTGGCAAACAATGTTTTTTTTTTGCAGCAGGTGCTGAACCCTAAACCCTAACCTTAAACCCTAAGCCCTATCCGAAACCCCCAAACCCTAAACCCTAACCCTGAACCCAGGAACCCTGAACCCTGAACCCAAAGGTAAAGTCCCAGGTTGTTAGCGCCTGCCGTGGCTCTGCGCTTGTGGTCCGACACAGCCCGGGCGAGTGGGGGTCCTGGCCTGGATTTAGGGTTGAGGGTTGAGGGTTTAGGGTTTCGAAGTCATCCGACTCGAATGATGTCGCCTGAACAACCTCGCTCACAGGCAAGCTACCACAGGAGCCCTGAAGCAAAAAAGGGTTTAGGGTGTAGGGTAATTACTTGAAGGTTCATGGGTAGCGAAAAGTAGGGCGAGAAGTTAGGGTAACCTGAATCATGACCTGAAGTAAGGTACTCATAACCCTTATAAGTGCCCATGAACCTTCAAGAGAGTCTTGAAAACCCCACAAGCCAGAAAATCAAATTTTTAGAACACAATCACCAACTCCAACCACACTAGGCCCTGTTGACAAGTGAAATTCGAAGACTAAATCGTACAACAGACAGCGCCGATTAAACCTGGGACCTAAAAATCTGGCTGGTTCTTAGTCGAGAATGAGGGTGAGGGAATGAGGGCCCTACAGAATCCCTTAAAGAGTATATATATATATACATATATGTGTATATATATATAGGACCCTAAACCCTGAACCCTAAACCCTAAACCCTCATTCCCGACGAAGAAGCAGGGGAAACTGGCCAGGCCATGCCCTGTCTGCTTCGACCCCGTGCCGACGCTCGCAGGGGCCAGCTGCTGTGCTGGCTGCGGAAGGCTTCTCGTGGCAAAACCAGGTGTGCAGTGGTTTGAATGGGTTTAGGGTTTAGGGTTTAGGGTTTAGGGTTTAGGGTTTAGGGTTTAGGGTTTAGGGTTTAGGGTCAGGGTTAAACAGAATAACCCTAAACCCTAAAGGCCCTAAACCTTGCAAGATGCCAGAACGGTTCTGGGGGGAACTCAGGGGCTTTAGAGTTTTCAAACCGTGGCAAAAAAACATTCGTCGTAGTAGTAGGCCCTCGGGCCCAGGTTCTTTGGAAGACTGGGCCCTCATAAAACCGTAGCCTGCGGTGCCCTTGTGGCCAGGAACCTACACACAGAGTGCCGGAAGCTCAGTTCCGTTCCATTCCCGCCAAGGCCTTCTTGAAGGTGTACGGGTAGTTCTAAGTAGGGCTAGAAGTAAGGTAAGCTATCTTATAACATGTCTTTGAGGTACTTATAGCCCTACTTGCAACTACCCATGAACCTTCAAGTAAAGTTCCGGAAAAGCAAAGCCTAAACCCTAAACCCTAAACCCTAAACCCTAAACTAAGGAAAAGCAAACCCTAAACCCTAAACCAAGGTCTGGCACAGTGGCGTGAAGCCACGGGCGAAACGCTGCCGAAAGAGGGCATGCCAGCCAGCGAACTGGCGGCGAGGCCGGGAAAGGTTTGGGGGTTTAGGGTTTGGGGTTTAGGGTTTAGGGTTTAGGGTTTAGGGTTTAGGTTTAGGGGTAGGGCACACACTTGAAAGTTCATGGGTATAGCTGTTAGGGTGAGTAAGGTACCTTAATTCAGGTTTATCAGATTGGTTGCCTGACTCATAGCCGTACCCTACTTCTAACTACCCATGAACCTCGAAATAATTACTCGAAATTCTGGCACCCCTAAACCCGAAACCCTTTACCCTAAACCCCCCAAGGGTTCAAGGCAGTTTCCCCTTATTAGCGGCAGGCTCCGACCAAAGATGCAATGAACGGGCAACAGGGGGCAGACGGGAGTTTAGGGTCGAGGATTGATTGTTTGATACAGGGGTATTCCCTTACGGTCCCTTTATACTTGTAACAAAAAAACCCAAAACCCTATTCTAGTGTATTGGGGCTCTATGATTTTGGATCTTTGAATGGAGCTTAACAAATCAAGCGGGTCCAGAGTCAGAAGGGGCCCTAACTCGGAATAATCACTGTATTTGAGCGAAAACCGAACATGCCTTGACCGCATTGTCCCCCTGAACAGCCCGAAACCCTGAATCCTAAACCCTCAACCCTGAACCCTCAACCCTAACCCTAAACCCTAAACCCTAAACCCTAAACCCTAAACCCTAAACCCTAAACCCCAAACTGAGATCCACGCTGAGCTGCCCACTCTGCCGCGGGAGCGGGGCCACCGGGTCAGAGGATGCCGACAAGATGCAGGCAAACTCCGTGCTGTATAAATGAGTTTAGGGTTCATTTAGGGTTTAGGGTTTAGGGTTTAGGGTTTAGGGTTTAGGGTAAAATCTGGACTTAGGGTTGAGGGCCCAAATCCTCAGTCCAACCCGGAAGTGGCGGCTCTTCACCGTGTTCATCATTCAGGAATGTCCAGGAGCAGTGCCAGGGTTTCCCCCCCGCTCGTTCTGTCGGTGCCGCGTTTCAGGGATCCCTAAACCCTAAACCCTAAACCCAAAACCCTAAACCCTAATCCCTAATCCCTAAACCCTAAACCCTAAACCCTAAACCCTCTGCGACATTCATACTGAAGAGCCAAGTCGGCGATGGCTGACAGGTCTTGCTCACGCATGGGTGCCCGGCGAGCCACACTTCGATGACCGTCGCAAAATGAAACCCTAAACCCTAAACCCTAAACCCTAAGCCCTAAACCCTAAACCCTAAACCCTAAACCCTAAACCCTAATGGTCTGAGCTCTGCACAAGATGAGTCTCAACTTCCTGCCAAGCATGTGCCCTGCTCAGACTGTTGGTGGGTGCAGGTTCTCCAAGGAGCCCTCGCAGCCACGAAGGCGCGGGATGCGTCAAACCTATATCCCCCTTGGGGCTTTATTTTTTTTAAAATTAGTTTTGTTGATATAAAACCCAAGGGGAGATTTAAAGATATTATTTTTGTTGATATTAAATTCAAGGGGATATTCAAAGCATATTGTTTTTTATCAAGGTTCTAAGGGGAGTATAGAAACTGGCACTGGCAGCATGGCTGCACGTTTTTGTTTCAACATGCCATGTGCCGAGCAAAGAAAGCAACGCATCTTGTGCCAAGGGCGCTAGGGTTTGGTTTAGGGTTTAGGGTTTAGGGTTTAAGGTTTAAGGTAAACCCAACACCCTGAACCCACAGGGCTCTTTTCAGCCTATGCGCTTATTGGGACACCCTGGCAAGTAGTGTGTGCTTTAGGGCTTCGGGACTTGGGCAGTTTCTGGCAGCACCCACAGCAGGAGTCCGGATGCAAAAAAGGGGCTCGGCATTTTTGTTCTTTCGAGCTGGATCCGCGAATTAGGCGGACAAAGCATGACCATAGGACTCGCAGCGCTTCTTCTTAATACAGCTTGCTTTTTGCTGCCGGACGTCTACTTATATATATATATATATATATATAGTGTGTGTGTGACTTCGGGAGCATGCAAGTTTGTACTCTCTATAAACTTGACGTGAGTGCTCAACGAGCATGTCTGCCTTGAGGCCGCTCCTGGGCAGCCACTCCGGCGCCACCTGAACTTGCCTGTGGCCCGGTACTGGCAAGGGTCTTGTCCTTGCACCTGACATCTTCACCTGAAACCCTAAACCTTAAACCCTAAACCCTAAACCCAGAGGTCAGCAGTTTCGGCGCTGCACGCTGCGCCCTCGTCACTCGAGGACGGGAATTATAGTTTCAGAACTGCGCTTCGAACCGGATGTGACGGCTTGCGCACTACGCGTGTGTGCTTTATCCAACACGGTCCACAGGCCTGTGCCTTCTCACGTCATAGTTAGGTTCTGCGCAAGTTCCACAGCAGCACACCTTGCCGATTTTGGGTCGTGAGTCTTTTGGCATTTTCGATCGGTGTTGCCACTGTCACTGCGGCGCAGATTTGCCCACAAGCCATCAGCTTTCGTAATGTGAATAGGCGCCCTCAGTGAGAGTAAACCTCTACCTTAAAATGACGCAGATTTGGTTAAGCAACAACAACTCCATCTCTTTCTATATATAGATGTGTATATATATATATGTATATGTATAGATGTACACACACACACCCACTTACACACCCAGAATACGAGCAGCTTCTGTTTAAGGCCTAGTAGGTTACGCTGGTTTTATGGAGATGTGCCCCGATGTGGCGGAGACTACTTGCCCGCCCCGCGCGGCTGCGCAGCGGATGGTTTCTAGCCCTCGGAGCACCTGAGCTGTCTTGGGGGGGGGGGAGGCAAGGAGGGACCCTCGTAAGGCTCGTTTAGGGGTTAGGTAGGGGCAGTTTTTGGGGCTACTTGCAACCACGGGTATGCAAGGACGATGAGGGAAGGATGGCAAGGCGATGGTCTGAGTTCACAGAGGCCTCCTGGTTCTTTCCTGAAGTTGCAGGACCCAATCAGACAAGCTTAGGGTGGAGCAGAGGCTGCGTTCAAAAAAGGGTTCAGGGTTTGGGGCTCAGTCGCCGCATCTCGTACGGAGCCAGGGTGTGGCCGGCTTCCCAGCTGAACAGGATCAGAGAGGTTTAGGGTTTAGGGTTTAGGGTTTAGGGTTTAGGGCTTAGGGTTTAGGGTTTAGGGGTTCAAAAAAGCTTGAGTTCTATCCTTAAAAATGCCTAACCCCTAACCCTATCCCTTCTTAGCTCTGCGGGGACTGTCGTGAGGGACCTGGTGTTATGCAGGGGAGGCTGAGACATCTTGATAAGGACTGTACGAGGTATAGGGAATAGGCGTTGCGTAGAGTAGTAGGATTGGGACTCCCCCTGGTAAAATCCAGGTGAGCTACTGGGCCTATGCCGAGACTGCCTTGGCTTCCGACGCTGGGACAGAGTTGGGAGCCGGAGTGTGTTGATTATGGTAGCCTGAACCCCCGTGCTAGGCAGGTGGCAAAAAACACCCTAAACCCAAACCCTGGGCTTCGGATTTGGGAAGCATCCCAGCCGCGTTGAGAGGTTCAAGGGCGCAGGGCCCACGGCGTCTTGCATCTTGCACCTCCGCTTGTGTTTCTTCTGCAGGCCTAAACACTTTTTGTTGGGGGAGGGGCTTAACTTGGCTGACGTGAAACAACCCTAAGCCCAGTCTTGTCTTGTCTGTTCTGGTCGTGGTGAGTGAGGGCTCTGGTCCGCTTGTTTGCCTTCAGTTGCTTTGCTGGCTCCATGTGAGTGGATTAGGGTTTTAGGTTTTCAGGGTGGCACCAACCCCGGGCGAAGTGGCAAGCCTGTGGCAACCGGTATTTTGGGGTTGAGGGTTGTGAGTGTGAGTGTGAAACCTCGGAAGGATCGGCTGTGGCTGGCACCTCCCACGGCCCGCACGCCCCGCGTGGCCGCCGCAGCCGAGGCGGATGCACCCGAGGCCTCAGAGCTTGAGCCTTGCTGTCCTGCACCCCTACCTAGAGGTTCGTAGGTTGTGTTAAGTAGGGCTTTGGGCTTAGGGTTTAAGGTTTAGGAAGATTCAGGGGTAGTTAGGTAGTTACAAGTTGGGTTATCGGTTCCCTAACTATAGGTTGTCTTACTTCAAAATTCCTACGCATAGGTACCCATGAACCTTCAAGCATTGCAAGCAGACCCTTGGTGGAAGAAGGCTTGGGGAAATGCATGTCTGAGAAGATGTGGTTGGTTCTGTACAAGGACTACAATACAGAAAAGTCAGATGTTTTGAAACGGAGTTCTAAAAGCAGTTAAGCTTTATATCATGGGGATTCATATCGGGGATCATGGGTGCACACAGGCTTGCAAGTGTGTGCAAAGTCTGGATCCAGGTCATAGGGTCAGTCTGAGAGCATGTATGGTTGAAGGCGCATTTAGGGTTGAGGACTGTTCTTGCGGCGTTTGTGAGCCTTAAAGCCTAAGCCCGAAACACGAATCCAGCTTAGGTTCACAGCTTAGGGACTTGGAAAGAGGGAGTCCTGGTTCAAAAAGGTAACCATAACCCCAAAAAGCATCAGGAGTCTCTGTCTGTTTCAGAGTTTCGGTTCAGGGTTTAGGGCTTCGGGTTTAGGGTTTGATTGCAGTTTCAGGCGTGTATCATCGGCGTATCTCCCAAAATAGGGGAATGCCCTGAACAAAAACCGCAAAAAATGGAATCCTCATCAGCGGAATTTCAAGGGTTGGGACACCCTGTGTCCCAGAAGCCCTGGCAGGAATCCAGGGTCTGCCAATCTAGAGTGCTTCAGCGCCTGCCACTATACCAATGAATCCCTTTTAGGGTTTATGGGGTTTGCAGGGTTTCTCGGGTTTAGAGGGGTTCTGGGGTTGATAAGGTCCAGAGGGTCCATGGTATCAGGGTTAGGATTCAATTAAGTTCTGGCAGGAAGCGGTTTCAAAGGGGTAGTCATCCAACTTGAAAATCCACACCCCACCCCATCAACTTCCTGGCGCCTCGTCAGGCACCAGCCTCGATAGAGGGCGGAGGAGAAACTGCCTCCTCGCCAGCTGAGGTGGACCCGGAGGACTGCGTGGAGAGGGGGGAGGGGGGGGGGGGGCTCTGTTAGTTGAAAATATGGTAGGTCAAGGGTGTAATATTCAGGGTACTAGAAATGGGTTTTCGTTAAAACAGCCCCCGTACCGAATGTTGTTCACGAAACGGTTTTGAACATCAGCGCGAAAGACCTGTGCGGGATGAAGCAGAGTTCACGAGTTTGCCCTGGTCTCGGGGGACGTGATGCCACCTTCACGCTGTCATGTTGCCAGGGGCTGCACTGAACATGGGCTTAGGGGGTTGAAAGCGCTCAGTTAAACGGCTCACCTCACGGCACGCCTGCAGAGTCCGAAAGCAGCCTAGACCCCTTCCTGGGAGACTGAATGAAGCCTGGAAGGTTTTTGGGTTCGTATACTCTACTAGGATAAGAGTATCGTCAGGTAATCAAACACCAAGTTTAGGGTTCATACCACTTGGGGATGTACGAAAATAAGGGACCCAATATAGACCCTCAAATATGAGGATAAGGACCCAACAAAGGTACCCCTCATGTCGGAAACCCCCCCATGTAGCACGGGTTTTTCAAGTCTTCAGTGGAGCCAAGCGCCGACCTCGCCTGTTCGTTCGTGTGAGAGTTCAGGGTGACCCCCCCGACCCTCTCCCCCCCCCCCCCGCCCCCCCGCAGTCGTAGGGTTTAGGGTTTAGGGTTTAGGGTAAGGGCAAGATCCCTATCTGCTTCGTTTTGAGCACGCACCCGCACAGTGGTTAAGATAAGAGCAGGTACAGGTGCTCATAGCTTCTGACCGCGATAATTCTGATGCTTCCGACTGCCCATACAAGTAAGATCAACTTGAAACAAAAAACTAAACTCTAAACCCTATAAACAGGGGAAAGAGAAAGGGAGTAGCCTTTTTTCCCGAGGAAGTGTTGCGTCAGCTGGAAGAGGCAGGTGTCTTTGAAGGACAAGATGCTTGGCTTGCAATTGAGCCAGCCACGTTTTTCACCGGGGGTTGGGGATTCACACGGACACGCCATTGAGGTCGAAATTCTTAACCCCAGACACCGATGTGTTGTTCTAACGCCCTCCTTGGCGAGAAAGGAAGGCACGTGAAGCTTGCCTGCAGAATCACATTCCGCATCCCGCACGGAAACCCGAATCAAATCTGTTGAAATCCCACACGCAGGGTTCAGGTTTTAGGGCTTGCAAGCGTTTACGAAGTTTCGGGTAGTTATAAGGAGGTTTTTCGTACCTTAAACAAGGTTATATTATACTTGCTTATAACCCTACTAAACCACCCGTGAACCTTCCTAAACCCTGAACCCTGAACCTAAACCCTAAACCTCAACCCTAAACCCTAAACCTTACTTCCAACCACCCATGAACCTCTCAAGTAGGGGTTTACAGGATTCGCTAGGGGCTTTAGGGATTAGGGAGACACAGCCCAGGAGGAGGTGCTTCTTCAACTCCGGGAGTTGGCAAAGCAAGGCGTGAGGGTCGCCCTAAACCCTAAACCCTAAGCCCTAAACCCTAAACCCTAAACCCCCCCCGGCCATTCAAGGCTTCAGGGACTTTTGGGTCCAGGATTCCGGGTGTTTTAGGGGCAGGGTTAGGGCTTATGGCCGTCAAGGCTTCAGGGGGTTTAGGGGCGCAGTTCCGGCTCAGAAAGTAGGCTTGGAGTTTTGAAGGAACTCTCAGGGCCTGAGGGCCTAGGAACTGTGAACGAGGAAGGGGGAGGGTGAGCATACAGTACATCCTAGGCAGCCCTGTGACGTGTGATAGGAAAGGATTTGCAGGCCTGAGCTGATTTTTGCGGGGCTTGTGGGGTTCGGACCTGTTCCACGCCGGAGCACTTCTCTCCTTAAGCATCCTTTAGCATCCCGAAGCCCAAAGAGGGTTTAGGGCTTAGGGGCCCTAGGCCTCAACAGCCAGCGCAGGGGTTAGAGCTCAGGGACAAGAAGTTGCTGTGAGCATGCCCCAAGGGTTGGAGTGCCTGAGGCCAGTTCCTCGGCCTTGGTGGCCCAAACCCCCATTTTACTTACTGTTTCTTAGTACATCAAGGCTTGTGCCTGCTGGAGAACCCCGTTAGCAGCATCTTAAGAAGACCCATGTAGGGCCCTATGAATCCCTTAGGAAGACTTCAGCAAGTCCACGAGGAGTTCATCCTCTTGATGCGCTCGCCGGAAGCACGGTGCCGGAGGCACCGCGCCCAGCAATGTCTGGCAACAGCATGTGAGCAGAATCCCTTCGCCCTAATGTTAACCCCCCATACCCGCTACTATTAAATACGCCCAATCATTGTTGTTTTGTAGTGTATGGGGGGAGGAGGAGCTACTAATCTGGACAACTAGGAGAAGCATTCTTGTCACAACCCTGTGGCCGACGGCTGGCACCCATAGCCTCCCAACAACAACAGGGCATAGCTACTCGTACGGGCTAAGTACACGTGTGTTCCCATACTGCGCCCTCCCGGTTGCATCTGATCAAACCCCGCTGTGCATCAACTTTCTTCCTTTGAGTGGCGACGGCAACGCATCGTCAGGAGGAGGCACAGGAAGCCGTCCTCGACTCCTTTGATGTGGCAGGACAGAGCTTCGGCTTGGCTTGGCCACACAGAACCTGAAGTAATGCCGTGGGCGATAAACCCTAAACCCTAAACTTTAAACCCTAAATCCTAAATCCTAAACCCTAAACCCTAAACCCTAAACCCTAAACCCTAAACCCTAGTTTAGGGGGTGTTCGGGGTTCAGGGTCTCAACCCCAAAGCCCTAAACATCCCGAAGCCCTAAATCTCTATGGTTGGCCCCAAGTATGGGCCCTTGTGGTTTAGGGTTTAGGGTTTAGGTTTAAAGGAATAGAGCTCCGGGTCCAAAAAGGTTTAAAGGGATTTGCAGGGATCCACAGTATGGGCCCTTATCGTGTATCGTGTGTGTAAGGGTCACAAAGCAGGGTGCCCAAATGAAGGGCCCATACTTCGAATCCCCTAAAGTGCCTAAGCTTTGGTAGTTTAGGGTTTAGGGTTTTGGGTTTGGGTTTTGGGTTATGGGTTTAGGGCTTAGGGCTTAGGATTTAGGATCTCTGACGCCTGAGAGGAGTTGCCAGGTATCTTCAAGAGCACCAATGTCGCGACGTGGTGGTCATGTGCGGGGCCGGTCTCTCCACCGCTGCGGGGACACTCGACTCCTATATTCCCCTTGGGAATTGTTTCTTGTTCATATATAAGCCAAGAGGAGATAAGAAAAAAAACATTATTTGTGCCAAGGTTCTAATAAGGGGAGTATCGGCTCATGAATGGTTGCGTTTCATGCGTAGGGACACACCACTCAGTGAGACCGCCCCAATAAACGCCAACTGCAACAGTACCTTCGTGAGCAAAGGCAAGGTTTACGCGTGGATCAATATTAGGATGGGAGAAGGAAGTGCGCATATCAATAGATAAAGACTCGGAAGATGAATAACGATAAGATTTCAAGAAACTGCCAATCAACAAAAGTTGCAGATCATAAAAGGTATGAATTTCCAATATTCTGAAGTTCAGAAAGGTGTGCAAAAAGGGCCTCATAAAGTATCGAATTTTCTATATAGCCCTGTTACTGAAACGCCTGAGCTAATGGGGGTTCAGTGCAGGGTCTCTTTTTCTGAGGGGTGGGGGGGGGGGGGGGCCTTAGGTTCCCTCATAAACATCATAAACCTCTTTGCACCAAAAGGGCAACGGTTTCTTTTGGGCCTAACATGCGTTTGCATTGTCCCTGCATGCCTCAGCTGAGGATACCGGATTTCCGTACGCCCGGCACTGGCCTTTACGATTCTCGCCTGTGTACAGCTCTTTACAGCACGAAGAAACTGCCAAGTCTAAGACACCCAAGTTGAACCTTGCCAACCCTAGCCCCGGAATCAAATGCCCTGAAGCCCCCGGAGCTTTTGTCTCCTACACCCGCCCCAAAACTATGCGTTGAGGGACTCGTTTCTGGGAGCCTTTATACGGTTTGGGCTTCGATGGTGTCCCGTAAATGGTGGAGTAGACTGGCGTGGCAAGGATATGTCGAGAAGTATGCCCAAAACATAACGCCATTGAGCTCACGCAGGGTTTGAGACTGGGCCCTACATCCACGCAATCCAACAAGGAGTTTAGTCTTCAGAAGCTTCGGCCTTGCAGCTTGCAGCTCAGAACAGTGGAGCGAAGCAAAACTAGGACCCAGAGCAGGCCCTTATTCTTTTGGAAGTATTTAGGGTTTAGGGTTTAGGGTTTAGGGTTTAGGGTTTCAAAGGCCTTTCCCAGCTGACTTCAGGAGTCTGGGTCCAAAAGGGTTTAGGGTTTAGGGTTTAGGGTTCCCTTCCAAACGCCTTTAGATTTCCATGCCTAGGTTGCTCTTGGGTCTAGAATCTTAGGGTAGTTACATGGTCCCTTAGTATGGCCCCTCAAGAGAAGGTACCTTTATAAATAATAACAATAATAATAACTATTATTCTTATTGTTATTATCATTGTGATTATTGTTATTATTGTTATTATTAAGGGCCCATGAAACTACCCTTAGATCGGCCGAAGCCGAGGACACGCTGCAGCGCTTCAACCTTTCCCAGCCGGAGGCGATCTTCGAGCTGGACTCTTTTGAAGCACGCAGTTCTTAGGTTAGGCGCAAGAAAATCATAGCGGCATCATATATAGTGTAAGAATATGGTAATATATGCATACGAGCAAAAACATTAATATTATACTAATTTAATATGAGTATGAGTATAATCATGGAGGGATGAGTCTCGAGCTTTTGCGGGCTTGGGCAGCCACATCTACTAACTGAAGGCTGCAAGCGCCTGCGGGACAGAGCAGAGCAAGCATCATGACTTGTTTGGGGAGGGTGAGGACAAGTGTTTAGGGTTTAGGGTTTAAGGTTTAGGGTGATTAAACCTAGATATCTGTGTAGGGCACCCCAAAAAGATTGGCGAGCCTCGCGACTGGTATGAGCCTTCTTCTGGGCGGCAGACACCACAAGGTCAACTAAACCAGACCCTAAACCCTAAACCCCAAACCCTAAACCCTAAACCCTAATTAACTATGAGAAGGGTGGCGAAATCCTAACTGTGAGACCCAAGGATTTCTTCCGCCAGGAGCCAGGCAGGATCGGGGTTTGGGCTTGCATCTGTGCGGTTCCGGAGCAAGACTCCCCTTGCACGAGATACGTGTCGCCTTAAAAAACTCTAAAGCCTTACTTGAAGGTTCATGGGTAGGTATAAGTAGGGATACGAGTCAGGTTACCTATATTAAGGCCGTAAATTAAGGCTCTTGCAACTAAGAAGTACCCATGAACCTTCAAGTAAGCCCTGAAACGAGATCCAGCAACAACAGGGCCATTCTACGAGCTTTGCCGCGAGCTGTGGCCGGGCCGGTACAAGCCCACACTGGCGCACTACTTCATCAAGCTGCCCTTGGGCTATTCAGAAATGGACCAGGGCGGTATGACGGCCGAGTGCGTTTGCTAGGGTTTAGGGTTTAGGGTTAGGGTTCAGGGTTTAGGGTTTAGCTGAAGGCTTCCGTCGTGTTGCTGCTTTTGAGAGCCTCTAACTTGGGTAGCCCACTGGTATCCTTTTGCATCCAATTTTTTGCGGGGTTTCTGGGTTGCCTTGTAGAAGTAATCAACCCCAAAAGGGCGATACCCCTTGTACAATCTGGTTGCTGGGCTACCCAGAAGCTAAACTCTCTCAGGCCCCAAACCCTGTCACGCAACAAACGGCTTACAAGGGCCAGAGGTTGTAAAAAGCAACCAACTTCACTCAAAAGCCACCAAATGAATTCTGGCGTTGCCCCCGACGTCCGAGGCTTGAAGACAAGGCCTCTGTTTTGTTGTCTCGAGTTTTGGGGCTTCGGGTACACTACATCTCAGGAAGCTTGGGTTCAAAATGTGTAGTGCACAGTACCCTTGATTATGATCACATGGTTATCGGGCCACCTAGGGTATTTCTTGGAGGTTCATGGTGCTTCTTGACCAATTCTAAGTGTACTTATAACCATATCAGGGCACTTAAGGAGCTTACAAGTGGGTTATAAGTACCCCTAAACCCTAAACCCTAAACCCTTGTAAATTTGTTAAGAAGTACCACGAACCTCCAAGTCGGGGTTGGGACGTTTCGGCACTTGGTTTCAACCGTGTCCTGCCGGCAACCTAAACTGTTGGGGTTCTTAGGGGAGGGGGTTCAGGGTGTATATAACCCTAAACCCTAAACCCTAAACCCCCAAGGCTCCCTAAGCTTCCCTAAACTTCCTTAAGGTGCCCAATAGGTACCTGCACTCCATGAACCCCCCTCTCCCGTAAGAACCCGATAATATGCTCCCTAAACCCAAAACCTTAAACCCTAAACCCTAAACCCAGGATTGTTTAGCTCCCTAAACCCTAAACCCGAAATCCAGGATTGTTTACAGCGTTTCGATAGGAACCCTCTGGAGTGCGCCTTCTTGGGACTCTTCAAGCCTCGCCCATGGTATCCTTGTTTTTTTTTTTTTTTAATTTGGTTTGCTGGGCTCGGACTCGTCTAAGACCAAAGGGACCTTATTCTGGAGCAAACGCCCGTAAACCTTAACCTGCACCCTTTCAAGCCTAAACCCTATGAACCCTCGAGCAAAAAGGCCAACACCCCGGGAAATAGCTTCCTTCGGCCTTTGTCCAGGGCATCCTGCGCAGATGCTACACGCAGAGCCCTGGTTGCGTAGAGATTCCTGCGGTGTTGGCGCGGCCCGACATCTGAGTTCCTTTCACCGTAGGTGATCACACGTACGTTCCATGTGTTGGTGCATTCCGGCAGCGGCTGCACACATTGCCAAGGAACATCGTGGCTTTGCTGCGTTTCATCGCTGTCACATGGCACGGCTGAAGTGAATTCTCATAAGGCTAGGCAGAGGGGCTTGTCGTTTCCATCTTGTCGCATCTTGCTCCACTTCCACGCTACAGTAGTGACAGACTCACTCCTGTCAATGCCTGCATCGGGTGCTTATCTAGTCAGTGCTATGGGGGTTGGAGATGCCACGAGCCATCGGGAGCGGATTGCAGGCTTCGATCGGATGCCACCACCAGGTTACAGGGGTAGTTTCGATTTGGGGCATCTCCAAAACAGCTTGGCTTGAAATGTCCCCCTAAGCCCAGATCCCTCACCCGATTTGAGGCTCCTTCCCTTATTTGCGCTTGCCAGGAGCGCTGGTGTTACAGATGGGTGGTTGTCAAAATTGTGGTCCCGTTCTGGATCCCTATTATCATACAGCAGCTTATATGTAGGGTACCCCAAGAGGGATCATACTACTGACAACCCTAAACCCTAAACCCTAAACCCTAAACCCTAAACCCTAAACCCTAACCCTAAACCAATATTGGCAACCACCCAGATAGCCTGATGCAACGTGGAGGGTCGCGTAGCCCAGGATTCCCTCGAGCGGCAAGCTGGCGTGAGTCGATCGATCCTTGGCTGCGCGGGAGGATACCCGGAACTCGGTAGGGTTTTAGGGTTTAGGGTTTTTAGGGTTTAGGGTTTAGGGTTTGAGGGTTTTAGGGCTTTAGGGTTTTAGAGTTTTAGGGTTTTAGGGTTTTATGGTTTTAGGGTTGTAGGGTTGTAGGGTTTTAGGGTTTTAGGGTTTAGGGAGACTTCAATCATCGGCCACAGCAAGGGGAGAAATGGGATTAGCTGCCTGGCCAGATGACAAAGCCTAGGAAGATTGTCGCGGCCCATGGGAACTTCGATGAAGCCCACGTGATCGACAAAGTCCCAGAGCAGGCGGCTCCGTTGCAGAAACGGGCACGCATCAAGGTCCGCCATGAGTGTGATGCTTGCATCTCTGGTAGTGCTACAAGTACTACTATTTGCTTAAGAACCCCCCCCAAAAAAAAAAAAAAACGTGCATATGCATATATATATATATGTATATATATATACATATAATCGCTTCGTGGAAGGCAGTGGACGTTGAGGAGCTCAGGCACGCTGGGTCTACTATTTGCTTAAGAACCCCCCCCACCCCCCCGAAGAAAGTGAAGTTTAGGGTTTAGGGTTTGGGGTTTTAGGGTTTAGGGTTTAGGGTTTAGGGTTTAGGGGTTTAGGGGTTTAGGGTTTAGGGTTTAGGGTGATTAAGAATCCCCCCTAAACAATGGGTAACGTCGGGATGAGGACCCAGAGCAGGAAGGCCCTTCAACCTTTTTTTGGAGTTGAGGCTCCCTTGTTGAGCCCGCATCAAACCCCCCAAATAAAGGGCACCCGTTTTAAGATCTAGGTTACTCTTGGGTCTAGTGAGCCTAGGGTTTAGGGTTTGGGGTTTATAAGGGTTTAGGGTTAGGATTCTTGATCGGGGTGGAAATGGGTAGGTCTGGTTTCGGGGTGAAGATTCGGGGTTCTTTCTGGGGGCGGCCCTGAGCTTGAAGCCACAGGGATGTGGCCGCGTGGTTTCTTTTACTCAAGGGACACCAAAAGGAGGGGCCCTTAGAAGGGACCTTAGGGCCTTAGGGGTCATTTGGGGTTGTTTAGGGCTACTTAGGTATATAGGGACTAGATAAGGTAAAACTAGGGCGTACAGCACACGCAAAGAGACCCGAGAGCAGAGGCTTGTCCATGGAAACCCTAAGCCATGGTGGGTTTAGGGTTTAGGGTTTAGGGTTTAGGGTTTAGGGTTTAGGGTTTAGGGTTTAGGGTTTAGGGTTTAGGGTTTAGTAGAATTCGGGGCCGGCGAAAGCGGGAGGCAAGCCATCTTCGCTGGAGAGGAAGGATGGCGGGCATTGGCTGCGGCAAAGGGAGGGCTGGTGACGCCTGTCGCTTAGAAAACTCTAAAACCCCTAAAAACCCTTGAGCCCAAGCCCTAAACAGAACCTAAACACACCCCATAAAAAAACAACCTAAGAACCCCTCAGGCCGAGCCCTGAGATTCAAAGCCTTTCGTTTGGTGTTCAGGGCTCTAGGCCCCCGAGACTACCTATTATATATATGGTACCCCCCCCCCCAGTTATCCACACCTTTTCTGCTTGTTTTGTGTTTTTCTTGTTCTGGCGCTGCGTATTTCTTTTTTTCGTTCGTAATTTGTTTTCTTTGCCCCAGCGTGTTGATTATATTTTCCTTCTTCCTCTATTTATATCTGGTTGATAATCTGTATGTTTATACTACACCTCTAGAGACGTTTCTAGAGTGCATAGTGTACTTAAATTTCAAGGCCTCAATGGTCAAGCACGATGAGGGACAAGGAGTATTGAAGTTCAATGCTCCGGATTGAACTTCAATACTCCGGGATTCAAGATTCAAGATTCAAGGTTCCCGGGAAAAGTTTCCCCGGGATCTTGAATCCAGGGTCCCGAAGTATTGAAGTTCAATCCGGGGTATTGAACTTCAATACTCGGGACCCTGGATTCAAGATCCCGGGGAAACTTTTCCCTGGAACCTTGAATCTTGAATCTTGAATCCCGGTGTATTGAACTTCAATCCGGAGCATTGAACTTCAATACTCCGGGATTCAAGATTCAGGATTCAAGGTTCCAGGGAAAAGTTTCCCCGGGATCTTGAATCCAGGGTCCCGAAGTATTGAAGTTCAATCCGGGGTATTGAACTTCAATACTCGGGACCCTGGATTCAAGATCCCGGGGAAACTTTTCCCTGGAACCTTGAATCTTGAATCCCGGAGTATTGAACTTCAATCCGGAGCATTGAACTTCAATACTCCGGGATTCAAGATTCAGGATTCAAGGTTCCAGGGAAAAGTTTCCCCGGGATCTTGAATCCAGGGTCTCGAGTTTTGAAGTTCAATCCAAAGCCTTAGGGCTCCCCGGAGACTATCTCTAATACCCTGACGGGGTTAGCTCTATAGGGTTTAGCCCTATAGGGTCTAAGCTTTAAGCATTACCCGAAACCCTTGAGGGTCAGAACCCTAAAAACCCTTGAGGGCTCTAAAGATTAGAAGGCTGTAGCCCTAGAGGTGCTGAAACCATAGTTAGAGTATTTAAATGGGCCGGGCCGTTTCCCAAAATAACTATTTTGTTTCAAAATTTCAAGGATTTGAAGGAATGTACGGATTTTAAAAATTCAAAGGGCCGGGCATTTCCCAAAATAGTCGATTTTTTTCAAACTTTTACGGATTTTAAAGTATCTAAGTGGCCTTTTACATTCCTTAACATCCTTAAACAGTTGAAAGCCAGAGTATGTTAAGGAGTTTACAGGGTTTTCAAGAATTGAAGGGTCTTTGTAAATTCTTTAAAATCTTTGAAGCTTTAACAGGGGAAACAGAACCATCAAATAGTACGTAAAGGTGAGTCGTACACAGGGTTATAAGGTTCTAATCCTAGCCGTAATGCCTCAACCTTAAACCATAACATGTGAACCCTATAGGCCTATAGGGTACATAGGGTTTAAACCCTATCGGGCTAACCCCGTGAGGGCTTTAGAGATGAACTTTTTGGGATTTAAAGGTTTACAAAACTAAGGTCTGGGCATGTATACCTTCAAAGCCTATAGGGCTGCAACCTTTGAGGCTTTAAGAGCCCCATAGGCTTTCAGGGTTCTGACCCAAAAGGGCTTGGGATTTAGATTGCCGTAAGCCCTTACGGTTTATCTCCATGGGCTTATAAACCTTTAAGACCCCTAAACTTTTGAACCCGATACATGGTGTGGGTACTTATTCTGCTTATTCTTTGCATCTCCACCAAGCCCTATAAACAGAGGCAAAACCATGTGGGATTTTAGGTTTAGGGAATTAAGCCTCAAGCCTGATAGGGTTTTTCAGGCTCTAATCCTATAGGCAGTGCCTAAACCTAAAGCCCTAAACTGTTGAACCCTATAGGCCTATAGGGTTTAAACCCTATCGGGCTAGCCCCGTGAGGGCTTTAGAGATACCTTGAAAAACCCTAAACCTTTAGACTTTATGGGATTTAAAGGTTTGAAAACCTAAGGTCTGGGCATGTATACCTTCAGCGCCTATGCGGTTAAAACTTTTCAGCCTTGTAGAGCCCTATAGGCTTTTAGGGTTCTGACCCTAAAGGGTGCAGGTTTAGATGCCTAAACCGTAAACCCTTGAGGTTTAAACTCTATGGGCTTAGGTTTAAATACCTAGATCTTAAAATCTTCAAACCTATTAACCGTATAGGATTAAAGGTTAAGGGTTTAGGTGTAATTGCTTAACCTTGAAACCCTATGGATCTAAAGGTTCAGGTTCAGGTTTAACCCTAAACCCTATCGGCTTGAAGCCTTAAACCCTATAGGGTTTCAGTGCCTCTCTTTTTATAAGACTTAAACCTGAACCGATAGGGGTTTAGAGATTTAGCCCTGAAAAAAAGCCTTTGCAAGAACCAGGGAGCGCAGCGGAGCGGAAGGGAGGGGAGGGGAGAAGGTCGCTGTGCCCAGTGTTTGGACAGATGGAGAGGACTCGACATCTCAAGGATTGCATGCATTTACGTTATGTAGGGGATTGGGCTATTGGAGGAGGGGGGGGAGTTCAGGGGTCACCGCGGCCCGTGAGCGATCTAATTGGCTCGCAACCACAAAAAGCGTGGAAAACCACAAAAAAGCGTGGATAACCCGGGGGGGGTAGCATATATATATATATGTATAATATATATATATATATATATGTATATATATATATATATCTGCATTCTTTCGGGTTTAGGGGTTAGGGCGGTTGTAGTAAGGGATTACCTGGAGCAACCGAAAAAAACCATCAAAACAGGGAAGTCGAGCAGAACATCGGTAAGTGCATCTTTTCCTCCGCAGTGTTTCTCGCCCGTCCCTGGGACCGAAGCCCACAGCTGAAGCCGAAATTCGTCTCTTGGTCTCGGAGGGTTTAGGGTTTAGGGTTAGGGTTTAGGGTTTAGGGTTTAGGGTTTAGGGTTTAGGGTTTAGGGTTTAGGGTTTAGGGCAAAGAGTTCAGAAAGTCCTCAAGCCCAAAACCCTCGAGGCGATGTAAACGCCTGATAATGATGTGTTGAAACCTGGGGCTCTCTGACTGAGAGCCGTTGAGATAAGCAACCCCCCTGAACCCTTCGTCTGATTGGCCCTAAACCCTAAACCCCAAACCCTAAACCCCAAAACCCTAAACCCTAAACCCCAAACCCCAAACCCTAAACCCTGAACCCCTAGTCTGCTTGGCGGGGTGGCATATCTTGGGGCAGTTGCATGGGCCCTTGATAGGGTTTAGGGTTTAGGGTTTGGGGTTTGGGGTTTAGGGTTTAGGGTTTAGGGTTTGTCCCAGGTAAACCTAAACCCTAAACAACCCTAAACCCTAAACCCTAAGCCCTTTCGGCGCAAGTTCTCCAAGGAAGCCGCGTGTGGTTCTGTTTGGGGAGAGCTTGCCGGACCGGTTTTGGGAGCTGAACGACGAGGATTTGGGAGCCTGTGCAACCAGGACTGCAGTTCCGGGTTCAGGCATTCGGGGGTTCATTTTCAGGCATTCCAGGGTTTAGGGTTTAGGGTTTAGGGTTGATTGAACAAAGGTTCTGGGTTCAGCTTCAGGGTTTAGAAGGGGTTCAGGCTCAGGGTTGAGGACTTCTCGGGTTTCGGGCTTCTCTCCAGGGGGTTGCGGTTATTTAGGGCTGAGTGTTTAGGATTTGGGGTATTAGCGCTCTTATCTTGCCCGATGCACAAGTCAGGGTTTTAGGGTTTAGGGTTCAGGGTTTAGGGTTTAGGGTTTAGGGTTTAGGGTTTAGGGAGTTTCCGGCATGACTGGGGAACTGCATGTGCACATTTTTTGTGAGGTCAGGGCTTCGCTACGTAGGTTGGCACGGACCAAAAGTGGGAGGGGGTTCTGCGTTAGGGCTCATGGGATTAGGGGTTTAGGGGTACTATCTTCCTTCCACGTTGCCGGGGGCATCCTCGTGGTAAGGACCTGCTGATTGTCATGGGAACATCTCTTGTGGTCGAACCCTTCGCGAGCCTGGTCGGCCAGACGCCTCCCAAGACACCGCGGCTTCTCATCAACAGGCGGTAAGGGTTCAGCGTTTAGGCTTTAGGATTTAGGGTTTGGGATTTAGGATTAAGAGGGTTTAGAATGTAGGGATTAGGGTTGTCATCTTGCCTGAGTACATGAGAGAGAGAGGGTTTTCAGGTTGTTGCAGGCGTGCGCAAACGCGTGTCCGAGCCGCGGGCGTCGAAGCAAAAAACTCTAAGCCCCAAAGCAGGCAGAATACCAACTGGACTGCTACCATTTGCTTAAGAACCCACCAAAAAAGCAAAAACATTCTTATGCCTGATAAGGGCAAGATAGGGATTAGTATTTGCAGCGCTTTGGAATTCGCGACTTGGTAGCTCGATGGTGCCCTGTTTTCCATGTTCTTGCGTTCTGGGTTCCCCTATAAGGTAACCAGCCCCAAGAAGGGAGCCCTTCTTATACTATGGTTGCTGGGCTACCAAGGCAAAGGAATTCACAACTTATTGTGGAGATAAATAATTGTGCTAGTATCACATGTTTGTATACAGACGTATACATATGTATATAGATGCATATTGGGCGGGGGGGGGGGGGTTCCGAAAATAGTGGTAACCTTTTTGGGGGGTCCCTTTAAGGGGATTTGGGGTATACAAGGAGTACCCCCTATTTTGGGAAATGCCCATCTATCTGTACCCAGATACCTAAACCCTAAACCCCTAAACCTTCTTAAGACATATCACATGGACCGCTTGCATCCCTGCAGTGTGGTTGCGAGGCTGCTAGGCAGGTGGCAAAAAAACCCTAAACCCAAAACCCTAAACCCTAAACCCTAAACCCTAAACCCTAAACCCAAAACCCACCCAAAAAGACTGGTCATGCTTGCAGGGAGCCTTCTGGCACCTTGGACCGGCTGTACAACGGCTTTCGCTTTCTGAGCCTCGGATGGGTTTAGGGTTTAGGGTTTAGGGTTTAGGGTTTAGGGTTTAGGGTTTAGGGTTTAGGGTTTAGGGTTTGGGGGCGTAGGGGGTGATTTCAGGAGGGCTTTCCGGATTAAGTATAAGCGAGCTTGGGGGTGTAGAGGCTGAGGCATTTAGTGTTCAAAGGGGTGAGTCGTCGTCTTAACCTCTAATGGGTAGGAGCAAGTGGGCAGTTCGCTTTCTGCACACAGCGTCTGAGGCTGAAAGGGAAGAGCAACTGGCGAGATGTTTGGCACGAAGGCCTGTGCCATTTTGACGAGGTTTAGGGTTTAGGGCTTACGTTTGGGGTTACATGTCCGGCATTTGTGTGTGCATGTACTGTCGCACTTGACTTTGATTGCAAGCCCATCTGCAAAACGAGTCCAACAGTCAAAAACGCAGCTTGCTCTCCATACACATCCGCAAAAAGTCTTGTACACAAGACTTGACCACTGGTGTCGCACTACTCCAGCTTACTCGTACCTGAAGGGTGTGTTGGAAATGCTTGAGGTGTAATTAGGCGGGGGTCATCCGAAAAAAGCCCGAGCGATACAGAGAAGACTTTTGCGGCCCCCTAATTCCCAAACCCTAAACCCTAAACCCTAATGTTGGACTCGCTTTAGTGCGCAGGCCCCCCCCCCCCCAACAATTTTGGGGTTTTCGGGGATCCTGAATACTGTGGGCTGGGGCTGGGACGGGGCTGGGGGTAGGGCGGCTAGGGGTCGAGGGTTGAGGGGAAGCCTTGAAGCTTGAGGGTCTAAGCTTTCCAGGCTTTGTAGCTCCACGGTCGCCGGGGCTCCGCATAAATGCGGACCACCGAAACAACTTGCCAAAGCGAATGAGGGCAGCTCGTGGGCTACTCCCTTGGAAAATTGTTTGGGGGCCTGTTTCGTAATGAAATTTTAAAAGGAATTAAGGCTGGACAACCAAAAAACTCCGGAGTTTCTAAAACTTTTTTTAGTTTTTGGCTCCCCGGCCCCCCGCCCTTCAACCCCGGCCGGGCAAACATCGCATAATTGAGGACCACCCTAAACAATGGGGGGGTCCTGTATAGGATTTTCGGAACATCGCATAATAGTGCCCCCTTCCACAAAAGCGAGTGGAACATTAAACCCTATATAAACCCTAAACCCTAAACCCTACCCCCAAAACCCTATAGCATATTTCCCTGACAGGCACATGCGATGAGGGCTGCCAAGCGCTGGCCGAAGCTCTCGGCTCTTTGGCTCAACATCTTTGGTGTTTTCTTTGTCATAGTGGGGTAACATTTTACATCTTGAAGGGTACTTAGGAATAGCAATTTAAATTTTTATTACTATCCCAGCTATGAAGCAGTTTTATGGTGTTGAGTGTTTTGGCTTTCGGGTGGTTCCCTCAAGCCGCCTGAACCAAAAGCGGGTTGCAAAGAGTGGTGCGCCAGAGTCTCAACTTTTAAGCAGTGGATTCCTCGGGTGAAGTGCGTGATTTGTACCAGGTTCCCCTTAAACCCTAGCCCTAAGCCTCGCGAGGCTTCCCCGAGCTGTGAGCGTCAAAACCATCCTGACCTTGAGCCCTGATATGCACGGCCCTGTCTAATCAGCAAGGCCAGCATCCCCTTTTATAAACGAGTTGCCTAGTGTTTGCTCAACCTCAAATTCCTTCCCGACTTGAGCCAGTCCTCAAGCCCTTCTCGGCTCCTCCTCCCCCACAAACCCAGAGGCCCTAAGATTCTAAGGCCTTGAGTTATAAGCACCCTACTGAAGGTTGTAATATAGGTTACCTTACTTAAACACACCTTCTTTACTATCCGCGGACCTTCAAGCAACGTCTGCGAATGGTCTGCCAGGCTTCATTAGTCATGTAGGCCGCTGGGAACTGCCAACTAGATTACTGTACTTGGAGCACGTGAATGTTCATGGGCAGTCATAAAGTAGGGTTGCAACCTTACCCTAAACCCTAAGCCCTAAACCCTAAACCCTAAGCCCTTAGTTAAGGCACTTCATTACCAGGCTTTTTGCTACCCATGAACCTTTAAGAAATCTCTCTCGCCATGTCCTGTCAGTCGTCGCCTTCCTCGGAAGACAGTCTTCGCCTTCCTCATCCTAGACCTGCTGCTGCTAACTTGTAGAAACTCATGCACCCTGATCTTAAATTCGGCTGTCTTTTTGTGCATTCCCGTCCAAACCCTAAGCCCTAAACCCAAACCCTAAACCCTAATGTATGAAATGTCGGAGGTGAGAAGACTGAACCGTTCAGCCCAAAAAATTTGGCATGAGCCCAACCGTCACGGTTTGCCAAACAGCCCTGAAGCAGACCCGAAGACAACCTATACCCTTGGGTTTCGGGTTTCGGGTTCCTCTAGGAATATCCCCAACAACCCCAACAACCCCAACAACCCCAACAACCCCTAAACCTTAAACCCTAAACCCTAAACCCTAAACCCTAAACCCTACGTCATGGCCAGTAAGCTCCCTGCAGTGCGTCCAAGATTGGTCAGCTAGGCGGGTGGCCGAAAAAATGCATCCCGCCTTCCCCCCCCCCCGTCTCCGAAAGCAAAAACGCCCCTTAGGACCCTCAACCCTAAACCCTAAACCCTAAACCCTAAACCCTAAACCCTAAACCCTAAACCCTAACAACCCCCCTCCCCCCTCCCCCCTCGCCAAAAGAAGAAATGCCTTAGGTTGGGAGGAGGAGCTTTTGGCCTTGGCATCCGCCGGTCAAAGGCCCAGGCCGGGCCGATAAGTACCTTAAGTCCCAAAACCCGGTGTAGGGTTTAGGGTTTAGGGGTTTAGGGTTAAGGTTTAGGGTTTAGGGTTTAGGGTTTAGGGTTTAGGGTTTAGGACTCAACCTAGCCTGGGACCCTAATTTCGCACCTACAGTGTCAAGGTGTTCTACCTACTAAATAGGGGGTACTTACGACGAATCTGTAGGTAAATAGGGTCCCAGGTGCCAGGTAAAGTCCTAAACTTATCGCCCTAAACCCTAAACCCTAAACCCTAAACCCTAAACCCTAAACTGAGGCAGAAGTCCTGAGCCACCCAATGCCATGGGTTTGCAAGCAGGGCAGTTTAGCGTCAGGCAGGCAGGAAACGTAGAAGCCTGCAGAAGCGAACGAGCTGCCAAGAGCCTCCCCTACTTGCCCGGCGCAGCTTTAGGGTTTAGGGTTTAGGGTTTAGGGTTTAGGGTTAGACGTGGACAAGTTTGCCAGGTCTTGAAGACTCAAAGCCTCTGAGACGATGCTGGGCACCTTCGGCAAAGAAACTGCAAAGCCCCCTTGAAGGGGGCGTAAGGGCTTGTGACAGAGGACGTGTTTTTCTCAGAACGACGAGGACCCATCGCAGGATGGGCTGATATTGGATTTAGACCAATCTGGAGTCAAAGTGCTCCCTGTTCTTGGGCCTCGGATACTGTGTACCTGAAGGCTCTAATGTAGTTCCTTTGCGGTTTAGCTATAGTGGCTTCTAGTATACTACCCCAAAAAGGTACTACATAGGAGCCTTTTGATGAGGCCTCCATCTTCAATTGTAGGAATGGAGCACAAGCCTGGGGTGTCGAAAACGTGTTGCCGCTGCCCTTGCCTTATTGCTGACGTTGCCCCACCATCCCCGACAACGCCATGTTGCAACACATGGCACCGCCGGAAGCAAACACGGCAGTTGATGGCGCCTGCATGGGTTGGAGGGTATCTTGACAAGGTTGCGCACCCTAAACCCTAAACCCTAAACCCTAGACCCTAGACCCTAAACCCTAAACCCTAAACCCTAAACCTTACCCCTAAACCCTAAACCCCAGGATCGCACGCGTCCGGCTGCGCAGGAGACGTACCCAGACACGTACAAGTGGATTGCGCGCAAGTCACAGGCCCGGGACGAAGCCGACAAGAGCGCGGGATGAAAGATCCCCCCTTTGACGGCATAGGGCGGAGGGATGTGTGGTCTGGGAACCTAAGAAACAGCTCTCCTCCTTGAAGGTTTAGGGTTTAGGGTTTAGGGTTTAGGGTTTAGGGTTTAGGGTTTAGGGTTTAGGGTTT